CTTTCATGACATAAAGTCAAAGACTGTTCAAAGTGAAACAGAAGGTTAAGAAGTGTCCAGAAGTTAGAGGAGCACTCACCAGACGGTAAATGTTCCAGGCCCGGTAGTGGGTTTCCAGAACCACCCTTCACCCTGTAAAGATGTAAAATAAATAAATAAATGTATGTTTGAAATATTTATTTTACAGCTTTAGTCAGTATTTTTAAAATACTAGTAAATATGAATTAAATTACAGAAATAAACTGTGAATTTACATCAATTCCCATTTTTACAAAACATAAATAATAAATAAAAAGACTTTAAAATACATTCACAAATTCATCGTAATTTCATGTATTCCAGTTTTATTTAATAGATAAAACCTTATATTCAAGTTTACTGTCAATATGTTTCTAAAAGTAGATACAACCAGTGACAATAGAAAATAATATATTTTCTATCAGTGTGTTAGATGACAGACATGTTTTCTAATTCCAGATGTTTCACTACAGCTGTTCATCATCACAGATGACTGCATTACATTCTGCAGTATTATTGCTGTTTATGGTACATTCTACATTTAACAGCACGTTGTCAGTTTGGAACCTGGTTTCACTGCAGTAAACAGGATCTTGTTCAGGATGCACGTCTACATAAATGTTCACAATAAAACCAGCTGATGACGACACTTCTCTACAGGGATTATCTGTATTATAGTATTAGAGGTCACTGCAGGCCACAGCTGACTGAGACATACCAAAGCAGAGGCTTATGGGTAAAGGAGGTACATGTAGACCAGCGTGGTTATGAAGCTGGAGAAGCAGCAACAGCTGGACTGTACTATCTGCTCGTGTTCTCACCAAGTGTAATAAATGGTTGAACTCCTTGGAATGAGTGTGTACGCTTCATGACAGTTCTGCTGTTTACAGCATGTGTCTGGCCTCCCAGCTGGTTCCTCCTCCTTCTGCTTCAGTAGTGAGCAGCAGTAATCCAGTATTTTCAAACACAAACTACAGAATGTTCTTGGTCAGAAGCAGCCAGCAGGTTGCTCCACTGAAAGCAGCTAAAAGGTCTGAAGCCACGAAGTCCAATCAGACGGCTGCAGCACAACCTGCAGCTCCTGCAGCAGAAGCAGCTGCAGGACAAACAGCTGATGCAATGTGACGTCATCAACGCTGCACATCAGTCTGATGCATCTGTGAGGAACGTGGTCAGAAACTCTCTCTACCAACCAGCAGACGTTTGTCTGTGTGCAGCTGTGTTTGTGAAGTCACATTAAGGCAGACATCACGCTTCCTACGGGTCGGCTCAAGGCCGCCTGAAAGCTGAAGCACAAAGAGGAAGTGAGCCCCAGATTACAGTCAGGACAAAGGCAGCGCCTCAGACTGAGTCACAGACACAGTTCAGATGTTAATGACAGGAGATGAAGCTCACTGACAGACTGGACNGGTCTCCAAGCAGGAGCTGCTGAGGACGGCTGGCTTATCGGTGAGTGTCACAGAGTGGAGATGTTTCAGCTGGACTTAGTCTGGTTATTAAACATGTCATCTGCAGTGATCAGGGTTATCCACTGGGTGGACGTTGGCATGAACTCGTCCTCCTCCAGTTGCATCAGTTCTCTTTTATGGGCTATGATGCGTTTTTTGGCGCTGAGCTTAACGTCAAAGCACTTTTTTTTTTTTTATGTCTGCCAGCGATCTGTCCTCTGACCAACAGAAATAACTGCGGTGGTTTTCTGGTCTGCAATATTCTTTCTTTCGCTGCGCATCACAACATTTCACGCACCAAACAATATTTTCTGGTTTGCTTCAACCTCGCTGACGAGTACCTCGATCTCAGTTTCATAAAAGTTCCTCTTTTTTTGCCCTTTTTGCCACGATGATGACGACAGGTGAGGAAAATAAACCTTCACTTGCTTATAAAGAGGCGTGTTGTTGCCCTATGTGGTGATGTGGAGGCGTTCCTGAAGGCAACGTGCTCGAGCACGGAGGTTAAGAACAAGTAGGATTTATCAGCACTGATGTACATACGACCCCCGTACGCATGTTTGATAAATAGGGATTTGTTTGTACTTATACACACTCTAAATGTCATTCGTACGACAGAATTTAGAACCTTTTCTACACACTGATGATAAATGAGGCCCCTGGAGTCACATCAGGTGAGAACTTTCCTCCTCAGCTCTCACTGATGATGTTACTTCTTCAACTTGTTCATTAATGGTCTCCCGACTTTTATACTAATTTCTGTGAAACAACAACGTACTTCACTGCTGCTCTGGTTCCTTCATCCATCATTCTCTTCATCTCCTCCAGCTTCTGGACCTTCTCTGTGTCTCCTTTCTCCTTCATCTTCTCAATCAGGAAGTCCAGGTGGACATGAGTGGACACTGAATCAGCTTCCAGAGCGATCTCCTTCAGTCTGACAACATGTTGGTAGGCCTTCTCCAGCCACCGTGTTTTATCTGCTGTCAGCTGGTCCATTTCTTTCTTCAGATTTTCCAAAAGACTCGACTTCTTCTGGTTTTCTGTCTGATTCTCTTCATACTTCAGTTTCATGTCTATCAGAGTCTTCTTCACTCTCCTTGTCTTGGTCACATATCTCCACTTTTCTTTCACATGATCTGATGCAGGACACTTGTTGGTACATGAGGTGCAGCGTCCACCTTTCATGACCTCACAGTCTTCAGGTTTCCAGACCATTGTACATCCAGGATAGTGACAGTTCTCTTCACAGACTGTACAGCAGACAGCTCCTTCATAAAACACCAACCCCCACATCCCACCATCAATAGGTTCTTTATCTTTGTAGGGTTCATCAACTTCCACAGTGAACTTCTGGTTCTTCTTCATCTCTTCTTCATGTTCCTTCAGAGCTTCTTCAGTCTGATTGATTTCTGTCTGCTTTGCTTCAATAAACATGATTCTCTCCTGCAGGTTTTGGATGCAGGCTTCCAGTCTGACTCGTTTATTCAACACTTCAACTGTTGTCACCAGCTTCTGAGGTCCGGTTCTGTTCAGGAAGGCTGTGAACTCACTCATTCCTTCCTTTGTTATGTCCCATGAATGCTTTAAAGCAACTTTAGTTTTCTCTTCTGTGCCTCTCTGTTTTTTCTGTTGGTTATTAAACAGGAAGTAAACAGGCTGATCCTTCTCATTTCTGGCGCATTTGATTTTTGCAGCATCAAGAGCCTCAAGAGCGTTTACAGGTGGCATTCCATCTGAGTGTGTGATCAGAGCTACGATGTTTTCCTCCAGGTTTTTTCCAAACAGAGACATCACTGAACTGAAGACGTACATCAGTCGGTCACTCAGTCGATTAACACTCGCCTTCAGCACCAGACCCACTGCATTGACTTCATGAACTCCATCTTCTGATCTAAACAAGTCCAACAACCTTTTACTGATGACGTCATCTTTTTCAGCTCCTCTGGTGTCTCCAAATCCAGGAGTATCGATGATGGTCAGAGAGTAGGGCAGAGTTTCATCTTCAAAACCAAAAACCTGGTATACGATCACATCTGATGTCTGACTTTCTGTCTGACTTCTTCTCTCCTCCTTCTCATCTACGATCTGAAACCAGACCTCATCCTCCCACTTCACTCCCACGGCGTAGTTGACCAGAGCATTGATCAGAGAAGATTTTCCTGCTCCTGTTTCTCCCACAACTAAGATGGTTTTATTTATCTTGTTCACATTTCTTTCTCCAACAGTTTTTCTTGTCAGAGTTCCAAGGATCTTTTTCTTTGGTCTCAGCTGGTAGACATCAGGAGATCCTTGATGCAGCAGAACACTTCTGGAGATGATGCCCACGTATTTAGATGAGACGTTTGTGTTACTGCAGAGAAAGGGACAGAAATTGTTCAATAAACTGTTAAATACGTTTATTGTGTTGTTATAAATCTTCTTCATCCATCACTGACTTTGTTGAGGTTTTAGAGAGAATCCACCANTGCTGGGGAAACCCCGTTAGAGGAGAGTTGTACGGAGCCCGACAGGTAGCATGGTACTGTTAGTTAGCAGCAGTTCAATAAAAGACTGAAGATCAGCAATCACGCCTCGCCTGCTTATTCTAAGAATAAGCAAGACAACACATGGTGTCAGAAGTGGCCATGAGCAGATTCGGAAGAAAGATTTGTCACAGGGGAGCCACAGGAAAAAATGAGAAGTCTGTGGTCGCGTGAGTGAAACGTGCTAAAAGAGCAACATGCTAACAGACTTCGTTATGGCATGTGATGGCTACGAGCGTCAGTGGAAGTGAGACGGGGGACGAATTGAACACTTAGAAGAGGATTTTGTGCACGGATTGGGGGACAACCAGCGACAGCAGAGGGCTGTGGAAGCCCCCGTACCACGACGTACAGCTATGGATAAGCTAAGTCCGCCCACTTCAATGCAACTGACTGGTAATCTTGCTGAGGACTGGAAACATTTTAAGCAAAGATTCAATATATATCTAACAGCAAGTGGAGCAGGGGGGTGATGATGAAAAGCTGAAAGCTCACATCCTTTTACATGTTATAGGAGAAGATGCTCTGGACATATATAATAGCTTTCAGTTAGATGAAGCTAATCTGATTTTGGCAGAGCTGATGACAAAGTTGAGGAGTACTTTGTGCCTAGTCAGAATGTGACCTTTGAGAGGTAAGTTCTTCACCCATGACCAAAAGCAAGGAGTACCTTTTGATCAGTACCTAGCGGAGTTACACACATTTAGTAAAACATGTGAGTTTGGCATGCTGAGAGACTTGCTTGTAAGAGACAAGATTGTTTGTGGTGCGATGGACAATGCACTCAGAGATAGACTGCTCAGAGAGACTGGACTTACACTGGACAAGTGTGTCAGTATGTGCAGAGCAGCAGAAACCACCCGAGCACAAGCAAAACAGCTTCGGAGAGGTGAAACTACAGTGCCCGCAACACATAAAGAAGGAAAGAAAAACAGAACATTTACCAAACAAAAAGAGAAATCTGCAGAGTTTAAATGTGGTAAATGTGGAGGCAGCCATAAGCCAAAATCATGTCCTGCATTTGGAAAATACTGTAACAGCTGTGGAAAGAGCAGCTACTATGCTAAATGTTGCAAAGCTGCGTCAAAACAGAAAGTTTACACAGTAGACGAGGACAAAGAGGATGATGATGAGTTCATTGTGGATGGGGTGCAGGCTTGTAAAACTGAAAAAGAGGAATGGATTGTGCCAATCCAAGTGAACGAGACTGTGATACCGTTCAAGTTAGATACAGGTGCCCACGTAAACCTGCTATCTTTTGAAGACTATAAAATACTGACTGTAAAGAGCAAAATCCATCCTGTAAAAACAAAAGTGACTTGATACACTGGAGATTGTGTTCCTCTTAAAGGAGGATGCATCGCAACCTTCAAACACAAAGGTCGGCAGATAAGAGCACAGCTACTGATCGTGGATATGAGTGTACAACCAATCCTAGGACTCAGTGCATGTACAAAGCTCGATTTGGTCAAAAGAGTGTTCATAGTGACATCACCAGGTACTGCAAAAGATCAAGACTCACTCACGGAGGAGTATAAAGACTGTTTTGAAGGACTTGGATGTCTGCCTGGAAAACACAAAATACATGTGTATAAAACTGTCCCTCCTGTTGTGCATCCTTGCAGGAAAATCCCATTTGCACTGCCGGACAAACTGAAAGATGAACTGGAAAAATTAGAGGTCATCAAGAAAATAGATGAGCCAACTGAATGGGTCAGCTCGCTAGTTATTCTGCAAAAGAAAACTGGTGCTCTGAGAACATGCTTGGACCCAAGGGACTTAAACAAAGCAACCAAAGAGAACATTTCAAGTTACCAACCAGAGAAGAAATCATGGTACAGTTTGCTGGAGCTAAATGGTTTAGCAAACTAGATGCTTCATCAGGTTTCTGGCAGCTGGCTCGACAAGGAGAGTTCGAGGCTGTGCACGTTCAACACACCTGAGGGCAGGTAGAGGTTTCTTCGTCTGATATATGGTATTTTGTCAGCGCCTGAAGTCTACCATAAGACCATTCACATGATTTTTGAGCACATATCAGGAGTAGAGACAATGATGGATGACATTATAGTCTGGGGGACTACTCGAGAAGAACATGACGAAAGACTGAGACAAGTGCTATAGACAAGACACGAGAGGTGAATCTGAAACTTAATAAAGACAAATGTGAGTTTGGAGTGAAAACACTTACCTTTGTGGGAGATGTTGTCAGTGAAGAAGGGGTGAAGCCAGACCTGAGAAAAAGGTCAGCGATCAACAACATGGAAAGACCAAAGAACAAAGACGAGGTCAGATGATTCCTAGGTATGGTCACTTATCTCGCTAAGTTTGTCCCACAGCTGTCAGCCCAATCAGCACCTCTCAGGAGTCTTCTCGAACAAAAGAATTAATGGATCTGGTCCCATGAGCAAAAACAACGTTTTCTGAAACTGAAAGAGATTCTTACACAAGAGCCTGTGTTAAAGTTCTACGACCCAGAGAAGAGTGCCAGGATATCAGCACATGCACCCCAGTATGGCCTGGGAGCTGTGCTATTGCAGCTACATGACAAGCAGTGGCTTCTTGTAGCCTATGCATCCAGAGCCTTGACAAGCGCCCAATCCAGGTACGCTCAAATTGAAAAGGAACTGCTAGCCAGCATGTATGCATGTGAGCGTTTCCATCAATACATCTATGGCCGAACTTTTGAAGTAGAAACCGACCATAAACCTTTGGTCTCCATCATGTCCAAACCTCTGAATGACTGTCCTGTACGAATACAGTGCATGTTAATCCGGCTGCAAAAGTACAATGTGCACATGATATACACACAAGGAAAATACATGTACACAGCCGATACCTTGTCTAGAGCAGTGGATAAGGAGGAATATGAGGACAGCGAGAAAAGCGCAGAAATACAGGCGTATGTCGACATGATTGTGACATCTCTGCCAGTAACTGCTGACAGAACAGAACAAATACGGAGAGAGACAAACACAGATGAAACAATGAAAGAACTCAAGCACACAATACAGGTAGGATGGCCTGAAAACAAAACGGACTGCCCAGTGAAAATACAAGACTACTGGAATTGCAGAGCAGAGCTCACCGTGGTGGATGGCATAGTGTTGAAGGGGAGCAAATTTGTTATTCCATCCTGACTACGTAAAGAAAGGCTTCAAAAAATACATGGAGGCCACCTCGGAGAACTCAAGTGTAAACGTAGGGCGAGAGAAGTAATGTACTGGCCAAGAATTAATCAAGACATCAGCCAGACAGCAGCGTCATGTGAACTATGTCGCACCCACAGGCCCAAACAACAAGCTGAGCCACTGATGACTCATCCAGTGCCCCACAGACCTTACTACAAGGTAGGAACTGATCTATTTGACTATGAGGGAAAGAGTTACATAGTGGTCACCGACTACTTTTCAAACTATCCTGAAGTTGGAGCACTTCAGTCAACATCTAGCAAAGCAGTCATAAGCTACCTCAAGACTGACTTGGCAAGACATGGCGCTCCATGTGAACTGTTTTCAGACAACGGACCACAGTTTTCCAGCTGTGAGTTTGCTGCCTTTGCCAAAGAGTGGGGGTTTAAACACCTTACATCGAGTCCAACCTATCCAAAGTCCAATGGCTTGGCAGAAAGCTCTGTGAAAACAGTGAAAAACATGATGAAAAAAGCAAAGGACAGAGATGACTTTCAGAAAAGCTCACTGATCTACCGGAGTGCACCTCTACAGAACGGACTGTCACCAGCCCAAATGCTGATGGGTAGGCGCATTCGATCCAACCTACCAGTAAATGAGGACTTGCTGACACCTAAAGGGGCACACAAAGTCAGAAAAGCAAAGAAGGAACAAAAGGTGAAACAAAAACAGCTGTATGACCGAATGGTAAAACACCTGCCTACGCTTAAGCCTGGAGACATCAGGGACAGCAGGGGCAGGTGGAGGAAGAAGTTGCTCCATGCTCCTATAGGATCCAAATGGAGAATGGATTATCTCTGAGGAGAAATCGCACAGATCTTCAGCTACAGCTGGCTGAGAAGGACACTGCAGCTCAGGAGATGGTTCAGCAAGAATCAGCTGATTTCAAAGAGCTACCTAGCAGCAAACCTGATAACACTGACTATGGTCTGACAGCAGCGTCTGTGTCACCAGTTGCTGCTAGACTTTCCAAACTGTCTAAATCTCCAGCTGTTGAAAAACTGTCTAGATCCAAGAGACATGTTCAGCCACCTAAGAGGCGGATTGAGAGTTGTTAAAAACTTTTTGATTTTATAAATGTGTTTATGTACAGGAAAAATGTTGACACGATTTTAAGTTTTATGATGTTCACAAAGATTGCACATTATTGTTTTCCAGACAAGAATTTAAACGATAATTGTTTACAAATTTACAGTGCTTGAAAGAAAAGGCAAAGTTGAAGTAAAAAACACCAAACAAAACAAACATTTTAATATGGCTTAGTTTTAAAGGAGTAAATATTATTTCTTTATAGGGGGAAAGATGTGATGTTATGAGTGTTCTGTGTTTAGAACTTCATTACCCAGAATGCCACAGTAACGGGGGTTGCTGGGGAAACCCCGTTCGAGGAGAGTTGTACGGAGCCCGACAGGTAGCATGGTACTGTTAGTTAGCAGCAGTTCAATAAAAGACTGTAGATCAGCAATCACGCCTCGCCTGCTTATTCTAAGAATAAGCAAGACAACACAGGGATGTAAACACACATCGCGATCCCGTGACTGAACTCTCGTGGCAAGTAATATGGCCGCAGGCTAACAGCTAACAGTTCTAAATCCCGACAACACAGAACCACCTTGACAGAAACGTTTCTTGGGTTACACCAGCGGTTGTTCACGTACATGATGACACCCCCACCTCTGCTTTTTCCACATGCTTTCGTATCTCACTGTAGCGAAGCCCGGCAGGTCCACGTTAGCGTCCGGTGTTAGCTGGGTTAGCCACGATTCCGAGAGGATGAACAAACTGCATTCCCGGTAGACACGCTGGTTGATCAGCACCGACAGCTCGTCCATCTTGTTCTGCAAGGCATTTACGTTTCCCATAATAACCGTCGGGATTGATGGTTTGAAACGCCTCCGGTCTGTAAGCCTATGTCACAGCATGTCTGCACATGTCCTATAGGCAGCCACACAAAGTATGAGCCGAGGCTGCTAGAGCTCATCAACTTTCACGGCTCGCCATTCGAAAACCAGCTGAGAAACGCCAAATCCCTTCAGAACTTTTGTACATCAAGGCCTTGTCTGTCTCTTGTGCGATTTTCAAGTTGGTACGATTTACAGTGTCAGACAAGATAATTTTTTTCCCAAAAGATGTTTTCACAGATTTTCTTACTTTGAAAGGCAAATTGCAGACTTCCTGTTTGAGATAGGTCAGAGGTGTCAGCGTGAGATTTGTGGGTCTCATCGAGACGAACGTTTTGGTGTTGGTTTGATCTCTGTACGACATTCCTACTGGGTGCTAGGACCATTTTAGTGTGTTTTTCTGTAACTAGGTGGCGCTAGAGAGCTTGTTTGTGGTTTTTTTCATTTTATCAAATTTTTCGCCGATTCGGACATACGCATGTCCGAATCGGCCAATTTTGGTGAGTTTTTGAGCGTGTTAAGGGGCGTCAAATTAAGGGTTTTGCGTTCGTCAGAAAAATTAAAGCTGCAAGAAGTGTTGTCGGGTCCTCGGTCTGCGTTGGACCCTCATGCCCGTCTGACCTCCATTTTGACACAATTTAAACCGGCTTTCAGTTGAAGGAGTCATTTTTCTCTCTCTTGTCAGCCTCAGCCTGTCAGTGAGTCACATGACCAGCTGCACTGAGCTGCCAATCAGGATCGAAGCTGCAGGTGATGATGTCATCCTTCTTCATGCCCCTGGCTGAGAGACCTGAGAGTCTTACTCAGTTTCACTCGCTTTCACTCTCCCATACAGCCACAATTTTGACCAAATGTGTGTAAAAACAGCATATTTTTGTGGTAAATCTTGTTTGAAAGCCCTCAATGTCATTTTTTAAAGCTGTAGGTCCTTTGGTTTTTTGTGTAGATGACCAAATGACACAGCATGTCTGCACATGTCCATATACAGCCATACAAAGTATGAGCTGAGGCTGCGACAGCTCATCAACTTTAATGGCAAATCAAAGTCTCCTGCAGCGCCCATTAGAATGTATATTATTAGCCTGTTAGAATGAAAACAAGGGGGGTCTAATAATTTTTTCCATGACTGTATATATTGATTTTTTAAGGTGGGGCTGCATGGCGGTTAGCACCGTCACCTCTCAGCTAGAAGGTTGCCGGGTCACATCCTGGTTAGGACGCTAGGGATCTTTCTGTCTTTCTGTTTTAGTTTGCATGTTCTCCCCGTGCAGCGTGGGTTCTCTCCAGGTTCTCTGGTTCTTCCTCCCACAGTCCAAAAAACATGCTGAGGTTAATTGGTGATTCTAAATTGTCCGTAGGTGTGAATGTGAGTGTGCTTGGTTGTCTGTCTCCAAGTGTAGCCCTGTGATAGACTGGTGACCTGTCCAGGGTTCCTTCGCCCTAAGTCAGCTGGGATAGACTCCAGCCCCCCCGCGACCCTAGTGAGGATTAAGTGGTGTTTTATTCTACATGTGTGGTTAATGTTTATTAGCCAGAGAATCTGAATACATTAAATCAAACATCATAAACTACAGACAATATGTAGTCCTAGTATCTTAACACTGGGCTGATTTAGTTCTTTAGGTATTTAACAACAAACAACAATTCTGCTAAGGACAATGAAGATTGTTAAATTAACATCTATACAGAAATTTCAGCCCTGACAGTCTGAATATCTGATGGATCCGTGGTAAAAGCTGTTGTTCTGTATTTACTACGATTATTTGCCTTTTTAGCGCTGTTTTGTCTGTGTTTACGTAGTTTGAGAGGCACAAGTTTGGTCTCCTGATTTATGTACAATGCCAAAATGATCTGATGCTGATTTGCAAAAGAATTCATGATAAACACGATAAACAGATATCACAGATTACCTGTACAGCATTTTTGAAGGCTGCCCTGTCATACTAAAAACTATTGCAGACTGTGTGAAACACATGTATTCATCTGAGAATATTTTAATAAATCAGTTTGTTTCTATCAGTTCCTGTACAGACTGAAATTTGCTGAAAACTACCTGTCTTTACTGTCGACTTTCAACTCTGAGCCTCCTGCTGCTGTGTACTCTCAGCCACTTTCCAGGCGAGGTGCAGTTCACCTTGAACAAGCCTAACAAAAGTTGACTCTCATGATACCCATTAGCACTGCCTGGGGTTTTAGTTTTTGTCAAGTCATCTAGCTATGCATCCATTTTCTATACACAACTTAATCCTCTGTAGGGTATCAGTCAATCCCAGCTGATTTAGGACAAAGACAATGCACACCCTGGACAGGTCACTGATCCATCACAGTGCTTTTTGAGGCGACTTACTCAAACAAAGTCTGGCTATGTCAGACTTTCTGGTATTTTCCCTAGATTATCCAGCTGTGTCATGTTTTCTCCCCTGCCTTTGTTTACCCTGTTAGGTTTTGGTTAAACTTATATTTTATTACTTTCACCTGCCGACTTGTGGTGTTCACACTTGGGTCCTTATCCGAACGCTATATGATAGTTTTTTGCTGGATCATCAGCAAATAAGTGGCTAAATCAGAACTTTGGGGTCTCTTAATCCCTTTGCTTTTATTAATGATATTGTCTCTTTTGTTTTTCCTGATACACTCAGATGAAAGACATGAATCAAAGGACTTCCATCTCTTGTGATGACATCTCATCTCTATTTAGAGATGAAGCCTGGGACAGTGATCTTGCCCGTAAATCAAGGAGTTTGAACCTAACCATACAGTTCAAGGATCAAAACAAAAAAAACCTGCAAAATGAGTTTGACATTTTGAAAAACTCGACCAAGTTTCCAACTAAATATCACCAACACTCATTCCCTGCTGGAGACACAGGACTTTGCAGGACAAATCACAGCTCAGAAGAGACAGACCAGGTAAGTTTACTTCACATATATAAATACATATAACAGTTTCACATTCGCATAAAAAGGGACCAATACCTAGTTGGACATATTGTATTACAGGAAATAAACTCTGATTTAATCAAACCTTGTGTGTAATTTTGTTTTATTTGTTTTTCCTTTATTTAACCAGGTGGGTTAATTTAGAACAGATTCTTATTTACACTAACGACCTGGCCAAGACGCAGCACAGAGCAGAAAATACAATACATCCATAAAAAACAATACACAAACAAAACATAACAATAAAAGGCTTTGAAGATAAAATACACTAAAAGCAGGTAGAGGACTCAATAAATAGTTCCTTCACCATATTTTTAAAAGAAGATAAAGGTATAAAGACACTGAGTTTGAGTGTTTTTTGTAACTGGTTCCAGTCGAGAGCTGTAGAAAACTGAAACGAATAGCGGCCAAAGACAGTGTGGGCTTTGGGGATGAGGAGGTGGATGAGGTTGCTGTTGCGAAGTGAGCGGCTGATGTGACAGGTGATGAGTAGTGAACGTAGGTATGCCGGAGTTTGACCTATGATAGTTTTATAAATGAACAAATACCAATGGGTTTGCCTGCGGGAGTGAAGAGAGGGCCAGTTAACTAGGCTGTACAGAGTGCAGTGGTGAGTTGTGAAGGGGGCACCATTGACAAAACGGATGTCAGTGTGGTAGATAGTGTCCAGTTTATGGAGGAGGGATTTGGATGTGGATCTATAAAGTATGTCACCATAGTCAAACATCGGAAGTACTGTCATTTTGACCAGGAAGTGTTTGTGTTTGTGTAAATGAGGATTTATTACGATACAGAAAACCAATTCTATTTTTGACTTTAGCGAGCAGAGAGTTGATGTGGGTTTCAAAAGAGAGGCAGGGGTCGAGCCAGATACCTAAATATTTGTAGTTATTGATGAATTCGATTATAGATCCATCCAAGGAGATGATGTTAATTGGGGACTGGATCTGTGGAAGGTTTTTATTGAAGATCATACATTTTGTTTTTTTGTGTTTAGTGATAACAGAAGGTCTGGGAAGGCATGTTGGATGTTACTGAATGCAGTTTGCAGATTGGACAATGCATCATTGAGAGAGGGGCTAGATGTATAAACAATGGTATCGTCGGCTTACAGATGAATGTGGGCGTTGTCTACAGCATGGGTTATGTTGATAATGTAAATGTTGAATAGTGTTGGGCCCAGTATGGAACCTTGGGGGACACCTTTGTGAAGAGGTAGTGGGGCCGAGAGAAGAAGAATATCTCTAATTCATTGATATTTATTGCATTTTAGATTCTAAGAAATGGGTCATTAATACATCTGATAATAGTTAAACATTTGCTTTTATTTCTTAAACTATTAAACTAAATGACTCACCCCCTTCCATGATCCACTCACTGCTCTCCTAATATGATTAATATTCATTTCTTGTTTGCTGCTCAAGACAAAAAACAAAAAAACAAAACTGTGCTGTAATGAGTGTGTGATAGCACATTTTGAGTACATAGAAAAATATTTTTTTGGTCGAGGAAATGAGTGAGTATAAAAATGTAATTTGAAAAACAAACAAACAAAAAACCCAAAACTAATGACATGAAAATAATAGTCTATTTGTTGCTGTTTTTTTTTTTTTTTTTTAAATTAGACTTGCTAACATTGACATGATAAAAGACAACACAATAGCTTGCAACCTTGCTATTTTGAGAGGTGGTTTGTTAAGCTTTGTCAGATTACCAATAGTGAACCAAGCTATAACTTCTTAATTGAAGCTTCACAGTTAAAGTAAATTCCTAAACAATAACAATTGCTAATGCCTTTACATTAAAATACATCTAAATCTAAGATTTGTAGGAAAGACACTTCTACATTTCAGTTTGTAAAAATGCTATAAGATGATTTATGTAAGTACAAAATTAGGTAAACTAGTTATTCTCAAATATTAGTATTAAATCAAGTCTCAGCGCTCTTTGCGACTATTTACATGCAAAGTTAAAATTATGTTTTCAAAAGAACTGCAGGAATAATTATTATGCATTAGCTGAGTAGAAATGATCAAAACTGTGAAGCTTGTTACTGCATGTAAAGCATGACCTACAAACAAAATCTAATGATATTTTTAGAAATTACATCAAGTGAATTGAATAAACTACTTATGGGGTGCAAAAAAGTTGATTACACCTGTTTGGATGTTAACCTCCACATTTTGTCATATGATAATACTGCCCGCAAACTAACTGGGCTACAATGATTGCTTTTTAATAGAAGCAAATCATAAAGTGAGTGAGCCAGGTAAAGCAAAGATCACCAAGTCAGTCATCAACAAGCACCTACAGGCAGTTGGTTCATCTGTGACTGCAGTGTTTCTAATCTGAGAGACACTCATCAGGTCTGTGTACCAGCCTCCATTACAGAACTGTAGAGACTGGAAGACAATTGAAAGAGTCCAGTCCTCGTAGAAAACTCTGCCATGTGAACTTGTGATTGTCAATGAACACAAAACAACTGCAGTTATATTCATGTTACACAGACGTTAAAATCTGTCTCTTACAAAAAAAACTTATCAACAAACAGCTTGTAGGCCATCTAGAAACCTACAAAGCCTTCAACCCTCAACAGTCTGGCTTGAGATCAGGCCACAGTTGCATCATTGCCACAGTGAAAGTGGTTAACCTTGACAACAAGGAATACTGTGCTGCTGTGTTTGTTGATCTATCTAAAGCTTCTGATTCTGTTGACCACCCCATCTTGCTAGAAATGCTAAGAAATATTGGTCTTTCTGAAACCTGTGTCTCCTGGTTCAGTAGCTACTGTTCTGGGCGCTTACAGTCTATAAGGATGGAGGGTCACACACACACACACACACACTCACATACATACATACATACATACATACATACATACATACATACTAAAAGTACCACTTTTCCGCAATATTTGTTTACAGTATAGAATGTTTTGGGTTTCATATGACCTCCTGACTATTGGTCAATGTATTCTTTGCTGAATGGTTTGTTTTTCTACATAGTCCAGTTTTGTGATTATAACCCAAAAGGACAGAAGCAGCACTAGTGATTTAAAAAAAAAAAAAAAAAAANTTTAAACATCAAGATTTGCAATTTCTCAGGTCTGTAAGCCAGCCCTAACACAAGCACACTGAGAAAAATATCTTACAATATATCCAGTCATTTCAGAAAATCTTCAAATGCTTTAACTTTCTTCCAGACTTTACATTTATCTGGATTTATTTTAAACTGAACAAAACTAGCCCCTCCCCCATTAATCTACAGTCACCTACAAAGACAAAGAAGAAACAGTTTTTGTAAATTTTCCACATGTTTACAGAAAATGAAATGTTGAAATCTATCATTTATAAAAGTAAGTAAAACACATCCTGAAATAAGGAGATGATCTCTTAAAAGTATTAGAATTTTTTTCTGCTTTGAACAACAAATATCTGGAATGTGTCTCTGAATCTCGTCGAAATTATTTGATTGCGACAGAGCCACATAAAGAAAACATTGCAAAAAATATATATATATAAAAAACACATGGCTCAGAGCATCTCCCATTGGAAGGCCTTGTGAGTTGATCTTGGTATGACAGGATGCAATAGGTGAAACACTGATAGGGTCATGTCATTAAAGGCTGCTTTGACAACATGAGGGGGACAAACAAAAATATTAGACAGGTGCTTTAAGTTTAGTGGCTGATGGGTGGACATAGCATATGTATAAATATGTATATATGGAAAAATAAATACAGTAGAATGAAGGAATGTTTTAGGAAAGTGACTATACAAAAACAAAAATAATAAATAAAAATGCGTAACTGCAAGAATAAGACTTTATTCTCTCTCTCTCTCTATCTCACCAGAACACCACTGAAACCAGCCAGTCCACAACCTCTGACCAAGCAGACAATGAGTCCAATGATACCACAGTGAATAAGTTTGGAAATGAACTTTGATCTTTTGCTTTCTTCAGTTGCCTGAGATTGATTTGTTTTTGCTCTTGGTTGGAGTATTTTTTTAATCTTTCATTTTCAGTTTTACAAATGTATTGATGGATTATAATCATTTAACATCTAATCAAATATCATATGTTGATATGTCATATATAAAATAACCTGTTACCTATGATTTAATGCATCTTTACAGTTTTATTACATCTATTCAATATCAGAGTATGGTTGTTAAACATTTTATCAAAATGTATGTGAATTTCTGAACATGTTATCCTTAGTCTTAGGTTTGGCAACTTTAATTCATATTTAATCAGATTTGGAAACTTGTTTTTAACTCTTATTTTTAACATCAAGACATGCAGGATTTAATACAATTTTGAAATCAGTATTTGTATTAAAAGACTAAATGCTAAAGTCAAAAATCCTGACAGGTATTGAATGGGAATTAAATTTTGTACATGTATGCAGCTGCTACGTTTTTAATTTTTGTTTCGCCATGTAATGGAATAACTTGGTTTTTTCAATCATCCGGGGTCCGTTTCACAAAGCAGGTTTTGTGAAAACTCTGAGTCTGTTAACCCTGAAATGAGGAAAAGTCAGAGTTTCCTGTTTCTGAGTAGATCAACAGTTTGTTGAACCTGCTTTGTGAAACTGACCCCTGCATTGGTGGCTGGAGATTCTCAATCTTGTTCTTGTTCGTAATTTTTGTTTTTTATATGCCTTTTGTAGTTATTGTGATTTAAGTTTTGATCATATCACGTCTCTACACCATCTCTGTCTGCTTTGCTTTGATTAAATAAAATACACAGCAAACACTCTATTGTTTTTTTTGTTGTTGTTTTTTTTTTTTTTACCTCAATACAAGCAGGTTTACGTAATAGGTTCACAACTGTGTCTGCAACTGGTGTGAAAGTAGATTTGTGTGACTAGGCCATGTCCATCAATGGACAAAAAAGACATCTTATTTAATCTAAACTGGTAAAGACCGTTGAGGTTGGTAAATTCTTTTTCCATGGAAATCTGAGGGCGTGGCTATTTAGCAAAACCTGGTCTTCAGACTCTGTGTACCAGGTTAGTTGTGCAGCATAAAGTACTATAATTTTTAATATAGTATTTATTTTATATTATATTGCTATTTTATTATTTATATCATTTTTAAAACTTTTTTCTTGTGACCATGTTAGCTGCTGCAAAGATAGTGACACACAAAATTTCAATGTAATTTTTGTACAATGACAAAAAAGCTTCTTCTTCTATCGTGATGTCGCAGGTTAAAAAATACTGAAAACTCTGGTTTTAACATACTTTGCTAAACCACTTTTCTTGCTTCATTGTCCACTTCTTAGGTCAAACTTCAGACAAAAAGACACAAAATCAGGCTATAATGAATACCAAAAAACACAAAACTAGGTGATCTTCTAATGATGTAATTGAGGCTCCATCTGGTTTGACTGAGCTACTAACTGGAGCACAGTTGTATTTAGTATTTTAGAAATGTTGAGGCCAGTCTAAAGCCTCCATANTATTTCTCACAAAATGAGCTAATTAACACAGGACTGTTTGTACACTTTTCTTTCACCTGGAATTTTCTTCAAACTTTCAAGTTTTCTGAACCATAATATTGGAGTGTTGAACTTTGTATTGATTGAGTTCAGCTATTATTTCAATGAAAAGCTGTGGGGATGTTGTAAACAGCTGAACATGTTGTAAATGTAGCATGCATTAGTTATTGCTTTCATTTTGTGATGAGAGGACTGTACCTCTCTGGAGGCTCTGTGTTGGATTAGATGATAAAAGCCTCTTCAAACTGATCAGCCATTGCTTGTTCGCCTAAAAATCCCAAATAACAATTTATCAGCTGTGTTTATGCACATATTAATAGAACTCAGAATTTAGAAGTAGTAAAATCTAGCTGTGATACAAAATCATATTTATTTGTGTTGTACAGTGAAACATTTTTACATCAAATGTAAATCTGACATCAGTGGTGTTTCACATTACGTCTCACTAATCCTGTGCCTCTTCCTGAAGGTTCCTCCTACTGTGAAGGCCTGGTCACGCTTCGTTAGAAACATTCGTCGCTTTTTTCACAGTATGTCATTACAACACACTATAATTTGTACAATTTAGGTTGTTTCCCACACTCCATCTCCTTTGTAACTATTTACTGACAGTCAAACAACTACTGTGTGAATGTTAAAGTCACTTGAGCAGGAGTTGTCATTAATCTGACACTGTAGTGTGAGCTGTGGACAAATCTACAACACACTGGAGGGTCACTGTGAAAAGCTGCCAGAAATGTTGGTTTGATTAACAATGTGTCTTTAAAAGAAACACATCAGAAAGTGAGTGAGTTAGGTTTAGCAAAGATCAACATGCAGCTGCAAACAGTCAGCTCATCTGTGACTGCAGTGTTTCTAATCTGAGAGACACCCATCAGGTCTGTGTACCAGCCTCCAATACAGAACTGTAGAATCACTGATTGGATGTCTGGCAGTCAAGGTTGACAGTCTTTTGGGTCTTTAGGAGAAAAATCAGGATTATGTACTTTAAAGTGTAAAAACAAAACTTTAAACTGAAAAATTAGAATGTGATTGTCTCATTCAATGAATCACAAGTAGGATGTTTAAACATCAAGATTTGCAATTTCTCAGGTCTGTAAGTCAGCCCTAACACAAGCACACTGAGAAAAATATCTTACAATATATCCAGTCATTTCAGAAAATCTTCAAATGCTTTAACTTTCTTCCAGACTTTACATTTATCTGGATTTATTTTAAACTGAACAAAACTAGCCCCTCCCCCATTAATCTACAGTCACCTACAAAGACAAAGAAGAAACAGTTTTTGTAAATTTTCCACATGTTTACAGAAAATGAAATGTTGAAATCTATCATTTATAAAAGTAAGTAAAACACATCCTGAAATAAGGAGATGATCTCTTAAAAGTATTAGAATTTTTTTCTGCTTTGAACAACAAATATCTGGAATGTGTCTCTGAATCTCGTCGAAATTATTTGATTGCGACAGAGCCACATAAAGAAAACATTGCAAAAAATATATATATATAAAAAACACATGGCTCAGAGCATCTCCCATTGGAAGGCCTTGTGAGTTGATCTTGGTATGACAGGATGCAATAGGTGAAACACTGATAGGGTCATGTCATTAAAGGCTGCTTTGACAACATGAGGGGGACAAACAAAAATATTAGACAGGTGCTTTAAGTTTAGTGGCTGATGGGTGGACATAGCATATGTATAAATATGTATATATGGAAAAATAAATACAGTAGAATGAAGGAATGTTTTAGGAAAGTGACTATACAAAAACAAAAATAATAAATAAAAATGCGTAACTGCAAGAATAAGACTTTATTCTCTCTCTCTCTCTATCTCACCAGAACACCACTGAAACCAGCCAGTCCACAACCTCTGACCAAGCAGACAATGAGTCCAATGATACCACAGTGAATAAGTTTGGAAATGAACTTTGATCTTTTGCTTTCTTCAGTTGCCTGAGATTGATTTGTTTTTGCTCTTGGTTGGAGTATTTTTTTAATCTTTCATTTTCAGTTTTACAAATGTATTGATGGATTATAATCATTTAACATCTAATCAAATATCATATGTTGATATGTCATATATAAAATAACCTGTTACCTATGATTTAATGCATCTTTACAGTTTTATTACATCTATTCAATATCAGAGTATGGTTGTTAAACATTTTATCAAAATGTATGTGAATTTCTGAACATGTTATCCTTAGTCTTAGGTTTGGCAACTTTAATTCATATTTAATCAGATTTGGAAACTTGTTTTTAACTCTTATTTTTAACATCAAGACATGCAGGATTTAATACAATTTTGAAATCAGTATTTGTATTAAAAGACTAAATGCTAAAGTCAAAAATCCTGACAGGTATTGAATGGGAATTAAATTTTGTACATGTATGCAGCTGCTACGTTTTTAATTTTTGTTTCGCCATGTAATGGAATAACTTGGTTTTTTCAATCATCCGGGGTCCGTTTCACAAAGCAGGTGAGTCTGTTAACCCTGAAATGAAGGAAACTCAGAGTTTCCTGTTTCTGAGTAGATTAACAGTTTATTGAACCTGCTTTGTGAAACTGACCCCTGCATTGGTGGCTGGAGATTCTCAATCTTGTTCTTGTTTGCAATTTTTGTGTTTTATATGCCTTTTGTAGTTATTGTGATTTGAGTTTTGATCATATCACATCTGTACACCATCTCTGTCTGCTTTGCTTTGATTAAATGAAATATACAGTGAACACTCTCAGGTTGACTTAAAAGGTTCACAACGGTGTCTGTGACACAGAAAGTAATTTTATGTGACTAGGACATGCCCATCAATGGACAAAAAATACATCCTATTTAATCTAAACTAAATCTAAAGACCGTTGAGGTTGGTAAATTCTTGTTCCACGGAAATCTGAGGGCATGGCTATTTAGCAAAACCTGGTCTTCAGACTCTGTGTACCAGGTTAGTTGTGCAGCACAAAGTACTATCGTGATGTTGCAGGTCAAAAGATAGAGAGAACTCTGGTTTTAACATACTTTGCTNAGTATTTTAGAAATGTTGAGGCCAGTCTAAAGCCTCCATAAAACTATTATATCCATCTATCTGTGTAACTATATTTTTTTGTAAATAATTCTCCACAGATGAAATTCTGATGTCACTCATGAATATACAGGATATCTTAATGTAATGCTTTCACAAAGAGGACATCTTGTGGACAACTGAAAGTACTCTAGATGTTTTTTGACTTCTGTTTTTATGTCTAACTTTGCCAAGTGTCTGGTTACACTATGATGGTTTCTCAAAGTTAAACTGACTACAGTATCTCAGTAGTGCTAAAATAAAATAAAAGCAAAAGACAGATGAGCTAAAGGCCAAAGCAACCTGGACTTCTGTAACACCTCAGCAGTGCTACAGGCTGACCGTCTCCATGCCACACCGCACTGTATTGTATTTTTTTTTATTTATTTTTTTTTTTAAAGTGATTTTAAGAAATGTTTTAATATTTTTAGAGTCTGGATTTCAAATTTTCATGAGCTAGAAGTCATATTCATCAAAATCAGAGCAAAAAACGGTTTAAAATATTTCACATTATGTGTAATGACAGAAGAATATATTGAATTTTCACTTTATTAAATAACTGATATAAAAATTTAAGTTTCAACTACAAAAAAGAGAACTAAACAAATAAAGACTTGTAAAGCAACTGCACCAATCTCCAGCAAGTTTTCCCTTTTCATTGTCCACAATATTATCAGTAACCAACAAACTCCTTTTGTCAGTTGGTGCTACGTTGCATCACTAGGTTTCACTGAGCATTACCATGGAAACACAGCTCCGCGTTAGCGCTAAGTTAGCCTCAGTGGCTCACTTTTTTACTTTTGAAGCAAATTTAAAGATTATTTCTGTGAAACTGTCTAACCTTCTAACCTTAGAGCAAATTTCATAGTGGTGTAACACTACAGAGCAGTCTAAAACGTCTCGTGAAACCATGCAGCCTATCTGGTTAAATGTTACCTAGCAACACAAACAGCAGACATTTCAAGATTGGATACTTAACTATTTAAAGGAAGAGCAAGATCAAAATTGATTATGTGAGCAAATAAAAACATAAGGCTAAGAAGCCCTAACTTTGTCTTACAGAGCTCATCCAGTAAATGGATCTGCATTCATGCATTATAACTGATTTTAACACATGGTTATTTAAAAGTGACAAGATGGCGGTCAAACGTAAAGAAGAAATGCAAGTAATATTTGTTGTTTTTTTATTTCAGAAAAGCTCACATGCTACATGATTTGGACTCTCTGTAATATAATNGTAAAGAAGAAATGCAAGTAATATTTGTTGTTTTTTTATTTCAGAAAAGCTCACATGCTACATGATTTGGACTCTCTGTAATATAATGCATCCAGCCTTCTTCAGACTAACGCAGCACAGTTCCTTGCATGACCCGACCCGACCACCCCAAACCAGACATTAGCTCCAGAGGTGATGGCTGTTTGTGATTGTGTCAGCTGGCTCGTCTATAAAGCATTTTGCATGGCTAGTTACACCAAACCTACTAGGACCATACCCAACACAGACAGGCGATATGAGGTCACGCTGAAAGGTTTGATCAAAACACAGAATCTGATGCTTTCAGACAGTACAGGTTCACTTCGGAGATTTTCCTCTAGTAATTTGGAGTTGGGTGTGATTTTACAGAGCAGATCTGCAACCGAATAAAGGCACAAATTAAAGAGTACAAGAAGCTCCTCGTTTAGCCATACCACACCCTTACTGACTAAAATTATTCACGGGTATGTGTTAACTTCCTCACGTGATCTCACTTTAATGAGCTCTGCAGGATTATACAGACACAAATAAATGACAAGACCTTCTGAAGACTTCAACACAAAACTCCTTTGATTTCCTAAACCCTCCACCACAGCACGACTCCGAGGAGACAGGAAAACATCAGGTAAACACACAAATTGATTCCCATCTTCAATTTAACTTCTCTCTGTGGCCCAGCTGCTTTAAAATGTGTCTGAAGTGCATGTTTCTCATTTACAGATCTGACACCAGTCAAATGTGTAACCTGTCAGGCCAGTTCAGTAGAATACAGTGTTGTATGTGCAAAGTAAAGTCAACACATTTGTCATTTCTTGCCATGAAGCCTTTTGAAAGGCCACAAAAATACACAGGTGCATGCATGGACTGATTTTACATCTTAAATCTGTAAGTGACAGCTGAACTAAAACATTCGTATCCACTGTGTGAGTGCCTGTGTGTGTGTGTGTGTGTGTGTGTGTGTGTGTGTGTGTGTGTGCATACAGTATGTACTGAAAAACATTCAGTATAATAAGTTTGATTCAGAACAACTAATATATAGATTTCTCCTTTTTTAAAAAAAGTGTCATTTCTGTTAAGACAAGATGCACCAGTTATATACATTTACTTTACAACGGCAACTTTATGAGTTATGAATAAAAAAACAAAACAAAACAAAAAAAGGGACATTTTGTCAAATCAGTCAGGCCTCTGCTGCTCTGTGGTGCTTCATGTCTCTTCTGGATTTTCTCCCACCTGTCAGTTCTTTAATAAAGAAAGAGAAAATCCCAAACCCAAGAGTCATCTACTGACCAACAGCAACATTTTCCTCTGCTCAGCCACAGAGCTTCCTCCATTACAGGGACTGTTCAGTTTTCTTCACTGCTTTTCTTCCTGGTCCTTTACTCGTGGAATGTCAATCCTCCATCTGCTGCTCTGTTCAGTCACAGAGGTCCATGTTCCTCCCTCTCCAGCTCCACCCTCCTCAGTCTAGCTTGCGTGCACCCAGTTTGAGAGGACCTTTAGCAGCTTTACGCTCAGCTCGTTTTGCTTCCAGCTCTTTCCTTCTCTCCTCTCGTTTCTTTTTGGACAGCTCTGCCTTGCTGAGACCTGGGCAACAACAAACAGGTGGTTCAGTGATTTCGTATTACACTTTTATACGATCATATTTAATTTGTGTCCAGCTAACATTACATCACGGTCAATAAAGAAGTTGAAACTATAGATTTTGGTACAGAGAACTGAAAACAAAGTGATGCAGAATGTCTTGATATTACACAGTAAAACATACACAGAACGTTGGATTTGTTTGCTGTGCACGCTGAACAAACAAAGAAATTAGTTTCTGATGAAGTAACCCATCTGAAGGACTTACTCTGGCCTCCATCTACTGACTCCCAGCTCTCCTCAGCTCCCCAGTCTCCTGTTGCCTCTGCACTCCAGCCATCTCCAGCCTGTCAGGGAGTAAATGTAACACAATCATCACTGAACAGGCCTCTGTTCTTCAAAACTAGCTTGGCAATTTTAGGCCAGTGTGCTGTTATTAAGTTTGCATAATCTTGTTTATTACTATAAAGCTAATTTAATTCTTAAAAAGCCATTTGAGGATCGATTTCACCGTTCATGTGAGTGGAGCTAGGTGGTGGAAGCAGAAGACACTGAGTTGTTCTATGGATTCCAGCATTGTTCATTTTGTGCTGCACTGCAGTCCACAATGTGTCCACTGTTCAACAGTCAGACATTACACAGAGTACAAGTAATGCTGGTGTATGAATGGTGTAGTTCTCTCCAATGGATGTGTTAAGATGTCCTGATATTTCATGAAAGGTTTTTCTCTACCTCTAGCCATGGTTGTGCTGTTACAAAGAGGTGAAGGACATTATATTGCAATGGAAATTGAACCCACAGTGAGAAGTAACTGCCCAGATGCTTGAAGTTTTACTGTGAAAATGAAACCTCAATTAAATCTTCCTCAAAAAACAGCTGTCACTTCAAGCAAAACAAGTTTAAGTGATCAAATGAAAAGTAGCCTTTTAAGCAACAAATGAAATGCCATTATGTTCTATTCAAATTTAAAAGTCAGTCTCAGTTGAGTTTTTGTTTTGCTCACTGCGTCTCCAGATCTAGATTGGTTCTAGTTTAGGTTTTAACTTTATTTAGTTTTATCATATTTGATAGGGTCTGAGGATAGGAAGGAAATGGTGATAAACAAATCAAAATGATTCCTGGGTGACCTGAATGTTCTCAACTAAAATCATAATCATAACTACTTTTTCAAACTTAAGGCAGGGAGTCATTCGTATTTTACATTAATCTATGGATTAGATTCACCCAAAAACCTCTTGGTCATGATGGTCAACGCGCATGTACATGTACAGGTTTACAATTAAGGAATTGCTGGTCTAACAACAGCTAGAGATAATACTTTAAATCAGCTTAGAAGAACTAAAAAATCCAGACTCAAAAGAAATCATCAACACTCTAATTGACAGAGACCTGAACGTCTGGTACTTCTAACATATGCCTGACTCTTGCTGACATTTCATCTTCATGTTTGCTTGACCGATAGATCAACTTCTCACAAATAGAACACAGTATTATTCTTGCCCTCACTAGCGTTGACTGCTCTAGAAAGAAAAGCCTCTGTATGTAGAGTTATCACCACTGTTGACTTTTCACAGTGAACAATTGGGCTTGTCAAAGCAAGGAGGTGAACTTAATCATGTCTTAGTTCCATCAAGTGCTCCAATAATGACAGTGAAACACCATGCGCAAAAGCAGACCTCCACTAAGTGGAATGCAGCAATCATCAATACACCTGTGCTTCCACCCGTCTGCAGTGAAAAACATCTATTTCCTCCTTATATATTCCTTAATTTTGTAAATGCGATGGTAACCTGATGTTTAAGTATGCCACATTTTTCACCTCTGTGATGTGTGTTATCACTTTTAAGATTCTTGACACTCCTTTTGTTTCAAATCTAATCAATGCAAACTGGACCCATCTATCTCTTGCTCCTCTGTAGTCTTGCCCCCCTGCTCTCTCACCGTGGCGGCAGCAGTGTTAGCTGTGTTTCTCTGGGACACGCTGGCAAACAGATCGTTCTGACCGGCCCCCTTCGCTGTGTTGCTGCTGTCCCAGTTGTACTCGCTGGCTAATCGCACGCCCTCGGGTAGCGGGAGTGTGTTGTTGGCGGAGGTTGTGTCCGTCTCCTCCTCCCCCCAGTCGTTGCCCCAGCCTTCCTCGCCCGCAGAGCTCTGGCCCTGGCCTTCCTTCTCGTTGGACCAGCTGTCATCGGCGTCCCAGCCTGAGCTGCTCCAGTCAGAGCTCTGTGCCTTCATCGCCATGGAGGTGGACGACCGGCCGACCTACATGTCGAACAAAAAAAAAGGGAAATTAGGACTAATTCCTTTTGTGTCGCTTTTAATATTGTACATAAATCTTAGTGTGTAATGAAAATTTCAAGCCATTAGTATACTAGTAAGAGCAATAGTCAACTAATTAAATAGTGCAATAAACACAAAAAAACAGCATTACATAATGGACTCAAAACAAAGGGATCGTACTCCTCTGTCACTGGCCTTCTTTTTAGATGATGCCATTCCTGACCAGTCGGTGCTCCAGTCATCTGGCTCAGTGGCAGCTTTCTCTGGCTCCTTTCAGGGAAAGAGGCAACAGTTTATAAGATCTAGAATTTCAATTTTGTAAGAACATAATCTCACGTTTGTGACCCATCTGCACAAAATCAGTCACATTGCGCCTGACAGTATTTGACAGCAATATAGAGTGTAATATTATTATGCTCTGTAATATCACATGCTACCTACATGTAGAAAACAACTAAATGGACCGGTCTAAGTAATAAACTCAAAATCAATATTTTATCATGTGTTAACATAATTCGGGCTGTATCTCGGATATAGCCCAAGGCGCAATGCGACTGATGTCGTGCAGATGGGTCACATTTATGTAAATAACAATTCTACCTCCAAACTTCCCCAGTCCTCCTCGTCATCCCAGCGGTCTCCTATTGGCTCATCATTATTTTCTGTTACTTCAAGAGTCTGTGATTGGTTGGCACGACTAGAGGCAGCATGGTGAGGCAGAGAGTCTTGTGGAGTCTTATCTTCAGATCCTGAGATGGAAAGAAATAAGAGATAACGTTTCAGATAGCCTATCTAGAACTTTCTCAGGGCCTTATTTAATAGCAATGAATTTGAATTCCAGACCAATGTAAAGACACGCCGAGTAAAAACAGCGTTTCATACATTTCTGCTTAAAATACGATAATCCTACCAGGTACAAGTGCTCCATCAGGGTCACTCGTGGGGCTGGCGGTGTTGGCAAGCCCGCTATCTTCAGCCGCTGCGCCTCCCTCAGTCCCTGGAGCGTTGCGGATCAGCTTTGAAGTAAGTGAGGACATGCCAGTCACAGCCCAGCCGGCCCAACTCGAAGAGGCGCCTGCAGGCTGAGCACACGACGCTACGTCCTTTTCTGTAGGACGGACAGATAGTGTGTTTACAGTTTGAGGGTTTCCTCTGAAGTCAATCGCAAAAGCATTTATTTCTTTTGCTCAGAAATTTAGCACATTATGGAAAACAAATAAATACATAACATGCAATCACACAGTGGCATGTTTCTTGCAGTCACATTGTCCCTTATGTCAAACAGAAAAACACACAGGGCATGTTTACAGGATACAGCAGCCACTTCACTGTGTCAGTGAATTTTTCCTAAGGAGTGCTGAGCGCAGTGGGCAGACATTGCACAGGATTTCAGGTGAATTAAGAACTGCTCACTGTGTTTTAGGCCCATTCCTTGAAAGCATGTATGATTCAAATCACCTTTGAAGTTCTGCAGTGACTCCTTTAGTGTAACTTTGCTAATGGTGAATTATAGAGGTGTGGATGGTTGAGAATCTCCTCATACATTCTCTGCTCATACCAAACATTTCTTTAAAGCACCACTTGTTTTTCTGGCTCATGCAGTCGGCGCACTTGCAGTGTGGACAGTCTGCAGTTGCAAATTTTGGGATGCACATGGACGGTTCGCCCTGAACCTTGTGGATTTGGGTGGTGGATGAAATTTACATCATGCTTACCACAGCTGCATACACAGAAACCCTAACTTTGGTCTCAGGATATGGATGTTGAAAAGCCACTTGGCAGCTTAGTGACATTACCCACCTATCTCTGCCAGCTTGGTTGGGTCTTCTGACACAGTCTCCAGCTTGGAAAGGAAACTCTTGATGGCTTTGAATGCCTAACAGGAAAAGGCAAAAGAGTACATCCTGATTAAAAAATACATTTCCAGTGACTGCAAAACGTGACAAAACTTTGCCAAGCTGTCAGGGTCATGGGTCAATAATGGCCCACTTCCTTTTTTACGAAAAACATCTTTTTGTTCTTACATATGTTTACTTACAGGTTTTTTATCACTGCTTCAATTGAGCAATAAAATAAAAGTAAATATCTTTTCCTTTTGACTAGTCGTAGCCTGCAACGTAGCAGACAAGGTGGCAGGTGTGTCTCATACAGTGTTCAAATCCTATGTTACGACGAGAGAGCAGTCATATTACTTCTGTATGAGCTATTACTTTGCTGTTGCATGTACTCCACCACTTGTAATAACCTGTCAAACCAGCTTTAGACTGTCTGTCCTCATTACTTTCACAAAAAATAGACACAAAGACAGCCTCTCCTAGTCTTCAACAATGACTTAGCAGTTAAGAGCAAAGGCCCTAAGAAACACCATGAAGTCAGAAATCTCCTGTTGTCATGTACCTGGTCTCTGACGCTCTTATCAGGGTCAACAGTGATGGCACAGAGGGTGGGCAGGATTCGGGCAGCGATCTCCGTTAAGCTGTAGAAGTTGTGTGTAGCGGCGAAGCCCAGCACACCAGCAGAGCGTGAAGCGGGGAAGGGGTCTTTTGTGGCTCGTGAGAAGGCAGAAATCAGAACGCGCTGTCGAGTCTGTGAAGGGAGAGAAATCAAAGTGTTCACTGAAATTTGGTTTCAGAGGTTTGTACATTAAAATATTGCACAGGAATGTAGGTGTGCGTTACCCCAGCGTTGAGGTAGGAGGCAATTTTTCCCAGGCAGACGGTGGTGTTGCACCGTATCGGGCCTTGTTCGTCTCTGGCCTGCAGTCGAGCAAAGTGACGCATCAGTTCCTGATTCAGGTTGGTTTCATTCAGCTTGGGAGCCAGCAGCAACATAGACTGGAGGGGGGGGAGAAAGAGACAGATGATAGTTTTATGTGTACAGCAAGCTCACAACAGCCAGTCCACGAGTCATATATAATAACATCTTCTGACGAGTGGTTACGTTTAAGTGCGCAAACTACCTTAACAGTCTGCTCTCTGATGGCCGGGTTGGTGTCTGTGAAGCCGTGAACAACGTGAGGGAAAATCTGAGAATTGACTGCTGCCTCGTTTAGATACTGAATGAACTGCTCCATCTGATAAAGAGAAATAAGAACAAAGAGAAGAAACATCACAAGAATTAATACAGGTTTTTATCTTTCACCACAGACTTAAAAATAGTTGTGAGAGATATAAACAAATGATTGTCTATTTTGTTTGATCCTACTTTAAGGATAAAACTGGCTATAAAACAGGTGCCTGGAAATTTTAAAAATCAACATAAAGGAAGAATAAATAATTAACAAACATAACAGGAAATTCCTATAGGCATGACTGTGTCTTCTCTTCTCCAAATCACATTCTTTGTAATGAAAAACTTTGCTTCCAGGTGTTTTGGAAATCCAATTCAAGCCCTGCACATGAGGTAAAAGGGTACCTCCTCAAAGATAGATGAAATACAACTACAGCGACAGACCTGCTGCAAAAGTCGTATCCTCATAGCTCGATCTGTGGAGGAAAACATCTTCACGATGACAGGGATGATCTTCTGTTGGTATTCTTCTGCTGACAGGAACTTTCCCACCTTGAAGACAGACAACGAGCAACAAGATCAGTGAGATCAAAATGGGTAAAGATGTAACTTCCAAATAAGGCCTAAGATGAAACGCATACTAAGACATTAACACCAGTACATCTATGTCTTGCTTTTACTTTGTCTGGAGAAGGAGGAGTTAGAAGGATGTTTACTAATGAAATTTACCAGACCGCCCTGTCGTCTCTCTGTAGTATGCTCCCTGATATTTAATAAGGTGTGAGAGTTGCCCAGTGAGGTAAGGATTTACCTTGAAGAGTGGTGTGAGGACGACAGCTCCTGCATTGCCAAACTCAAAAGCAGTGAGCAGTTGAGGGAGAACCTTGTGTTTACAGAAGTCTTCAGGGAAGGAGTCCAGATGGTCACTCAGATCCTGGAAGAATTGCTGCTTCTCTGCAGGCTCCTTGATCTAGAGAGGGCAGTTTTAGGGAGATACATAACATTCTAGGGTAGTTATATCATCTGTTGTACGTTCTAATCATTTATTCTGCTGTAACATTATGGTTTGATTTTCAGAAATGTGTTGTTTGAATAAATGCTGGGGTTGAAGTATAGCATCGTTTCCTTTGCTGTAAGACAGCAAAGGCTGGGTCTTGCTGAACCACATTAAACCACATTCACCCAGGATAGCAGCACAAGATCATTTTTAGGTTCTATTTTGTTACTTAGTACTTTAGGCTGTGACTTCATTAGTGGAGTGTCATTGTAGAACTCTATGAGAGTCTGCGAACCTGGATCTCTTCTAGGAAAAGGTTGCTCTCCACAAAGCTGTTACTGAGGAATCCACCAGGGGCCCTACAGTTCTGGAGAAAGCGGGCTGGGTTTGGTCGAGCACGGGGGTTGGCTCCAACCAGCTCACAGTAATGAGGGACCAGGGCCTTGGGAATCTGTGGGCACCGAGAGGACAAGGGAGAAACACAAATCTGAATAACAGTTTTTCATTCCATAGACAAAGATTCATTTAAGCTGTAATGTATTCATGAAGCATCTATAGACTAAAGTCTTCCCTTGTCAGGAACTTGGCAAGAACATATGTGTCATTTCACTTTTGCTAATTCTTCCCAACTTTAATTTGACTATGCTTCGTCTTACATACCCATATTATTTGCCTTTGATTCAAAATAATAATAGTATAATATAAATAATTCTTATTTCCAGTATTCCTCACTTTCAGTAAATGTTTAAGTAAAAACATGCTACAGCATCACTGATGATTACACAACCGAACTGCCTGGGAGACGTACCTTTCCTAAGGAACGGAGGGAGGAAGTGCGAGGTAGTGGCCCATTAAACACCTCCCAAATCAAACAGCCTAGTCGCCACACCTCCCCTGCCCTGCAACAAGAATACATGCAGTTCAAGGCAAAGGCCTCAGCAGAAAACTGGACAGTGTTTTTAAACATCCCTCTCTCACCATTTCTCTCCACTGCTGTTGGACATCTCTGGTGGGTCATATTTCTCCATGTCTGGGTAAACAGCCTTAGGGGCGGGTAGTGGGACCCCGCTGGGGTCACCCTGCTCAGGGGCCACATGGTCGAGTGCCCCTATCTTCCACTCTCCAGCTCGATCCACAAAAACCGCCCACACGCCAAAGTTGTTATGAAGCAGGTGACAGTCGTTGACAAGAAAACTCAGAGCTTTCTGTAGAAAGAGGCAAACAGCACGACTGAAGACAGGGAGAAAGTGCTTACAAAGGATTAGTAACAGAAATGGCTGAACTAGGCTCCTTTTAAAATATGAGATGGTGCACTGTCTTGTCCTTACCACTATCTGGTGCAGCCCCCAGGAGACCTCCAGTTCTCCAGCACCACCCTTCTCTGCCTGGGCCTTCAGGTGGACTGCCAGAGGTGTCACCTGTTCAGTGACCAGGTACAGGCTCTTGTCTGTCTGTAACAACCACAAGCAAGATCAACTATTACCACAATTCTAATTTTTAAAAAAAAACAAAAACAAAAAAAACTTTTTTCCCACATTTTACGACCCAGTACTATATCAGTATATCAAGGTACTGTGTTCACAAATGATAACATTTGTGAACACAGTACCTTGATATACAGTTAAACAATCTTTTGATACAGATTCTAGTGTTCACTTTTGTTTATTTAACATATACACAATTTGTTTGTGCAAGATAACAGTATTTTTTCATCACCACAGATTTCTATTAAAAGGCAATGCAATTTAACACTGAATTACAAGCCAGACCTACTCAACTATAGCAAACAAAGCAAAACACAGCCTTGAGGATACAAGAACATTTTAAAGGGCTGTATGGTAGGAATCATTCTAATTCAAGGAGCTGAAAGACTTTCTAGTTGATCAACATCTTCAGAAATAGGAATATGCAACCAACAAACAACACAGACAAGGTGGCCGACAGTTAATGCACTAGGCTTTGCTGGTAATCCACTATCATGTTTAACTTGTGAGGTGTCATTTAAAACTCTTTCTTTTGGCATGCCATGTTATAGAAGCTCCAATTATAAGTATATAGTATAGTCATAGAACAGCATAACTGGACAAATCTGAGGTATTATAATCTATAATAGAATACAATCTGCGATCTAAACATACTCTTACTAAGCACAAAAAGCTGAGAAAATCGTGCAAGACTCTCCTAAAACATACATAAAATAAACTAATGTTAAAAGCCTACAACAGCCCATTCTCACTCACCTCTATCTGAGCATGAACATGTAGAGAAAAGCAGATGGTGGAGATGAGACACAGCTAATTATATAATTGTTACAACAACATGTTTGTGACATATTCCTAAGCAAGTTCAATGACATCTTCTACACATTTAAGGACAATGGCAGTGTGTGTGGAGCAAATTAGCTCACATAAAACACTTACCTCCAATCCATCAACATAGGCCAGGATGTTCGGGTGACGCAGCGTCTTCATACGCTTGAAGGCAGCCTTGGCTAGCTGGGTCTGCTGCTCTGTTCCCTGAGCCACCTCGTACACAAACACAGACACTGGCTCGCCATTGGCCTGAGAACACAGATTGAGGCGAAATTAATCACTCACATCAAGTCAAAGTTTACTTCATTTACATAGCTCGATTTGAAACAACCCGGGCTGACCATAGTGCTGTACGTGTAACCAGACAATCAATAACAAAAACATGTGCAAAAAGTAAGCCAAGATAAAACTACAGAAATATAGCTTAAGATTTTTCTTAAAATTGCCAATGATGGAGGCACATATGATTAAAAGACGAACAACAATCCAAAGCTTTGGACCTGCCACTGCAAAGGCACAATCTGCCATACCTATCAGGCTCGACCATGGAACAGTTAACAGCAGCTGTACTGAGGATCTGGCGTTTGGAACAAACAATAACACCTTAAAAGCAATTCTGTATTCAACAGAGCCAGTGCAAGGATGCTAGTACAGGTGTAATGCTTTCCATATTTTTGGTACTGGTTAAGAGGCTTGCAGCAGTGGCAGACAGCACCAGGCACTACAAGTTACAGTGATTTAGCTTTGAGGAAATAAATGCAGTCATCATAGCCTTCATTTCATTTATACACAGGATGGATTTCAGTTCACAATGTTCTGCAATTGTAAGTAGCACTCTGTCCCCAATGAGTTAATCTGTTAAAGTGCTGAGTAGAAGGTGACACCAAGATCTCTGTCATGGGCATGTCTGTGGCTGGTGATGGTTGTTTTTTTTGCTGAGAGGACCAAAAAACTATCACTTCTGTCTCATTCGTTTAGCTGAAGACAGTTTTAGAGTAGTAGAGGAGAAGCTAGCCCATATCTTAACTGAAAAGGACCTGTCTGCTAAGTAGGAGGCAAACCTAGTCTTTAAGACATAGCTGCCATGTGTTTTATTTTATATCTTAATGCATACTTGTCTGGAGTTAAAAAACCAAAGACTACTACATTACAATAAACATGACTAAGGGCGATGAAAGTAGGAAGTTGGTGCTTAGCTGTCATCTGATCCTACAGTCAATATGATGACACTGAGGGTACAGCTTCTGCCCCCCCGGTGATAATAACGAAGACAGTGGGTTCTGTTCGGTGCTGTCAGCAACAAGAACCGAAATCTTAATTAACACGATGAAACATTAGCTTGGAAACGAGTCAAGTAGGGGTTGTTAACTGGGCTAAAACAAGGTGACGTGGCGAGAAATACGTGGAGTAAACACAAAGCCTGAGCTCAGCCCGTCAGCGAAAACTGACACACAGGCAGAGCAAATAAAATACATTCCCACTGACGTTGAAACACCACGAAGACAGTAAAACGCCTGTCACGTAGTCGAAAGGCTAAATTTAAGCAGGGAATAAACTCGTTAGCCTGTCGGCTAAGACGCGGGCCTCCATACCCCACCGAGCTACCGCTAACCGCTAGCGGAGGATCTGCAGCCGTTTGCCGCTTTTACCTTCCGCTTTCCCCGATGTAGAGTCCATATTCCAGACTTCTCTTGGCTGTCTGGGAGAATTTCATAAGCGAAGTCTTTGACAGGATCCCTGGCAAAAAAGGACCACATCTCCCTTCACCTCCACACCTCATTAAACACACACAGACACACACACCAGCGACAGCAGAACTAAACAGACTGCTGGAGGAGGCGAGCGAGCAAACGGCACGGATGTAAAATGGCTCCGTGGGAACTTTGTTTCTGCTCATTGGTTCCACTATTGTTGAACTCAAAACAACAACAACAACAACAGCAAAAGGTTTAGATCAACTTTAACCCTCTTAGTGCCTTTGTAAAGTCACGACTGTGTCCAAGTCTGTTTTGGTGAGTTCCAACATGATCTTAATGAGGAGGAATCAGCTTCTCTTCAGAAAACCTTTTTTTTTTTCAGCATCACACAGGAGAATTTATTGTCCACCTCATGGAAGTTCAAGTCAATATCAAATAATAATGCCAGGCCACTGGGCAAGAGTTGAATTACCAACAAGCTCCAAAGGCATATTTGTGTGCCAGAATAGTGATTTGATTTATTACAAATGTGCTTTGGAGCAAGCAGCACCTGTAGCACAACATAAACTCAAATGGCTTTAAGGCAGGTCCTGCATCATCATCATCATCATCATCATCAGTCCGGTGCAGCAGTCCTGCAGAAAAAAAAAATCAAAATTTGTCACAAATCTCTTTATAAAGTCCTTCCACTCATTAATTAAAACCCCTAAAAATAATCTGTGTCAAAATAACATATTTAGATATTGTCATAAAAATAAAAAATAATCCCTCTCTGCCTTAAAGTGGCTTAGATGTAACTACACTGTTGCTTCCATTTTCCCTCTCTCCTCACTGCAGTTGGTGCACACCAGCTCACCTGTGACTTTGCTCAAATACTGCGAAATTGCTTTATGCTCCACAATGGTAAGTTTTGATATTCTTTTTCTAAAGAAGAATAATGACACAAAGCCCCACCCTGCAAGAAGCCACAGCAGTCTGAATCCATGTTTTTGAGACTGTTCGCTGTAGTTTTAAGGTGAAAACGCTCAGCCATGGTTGTTGACTGCTCATTTTGCTGCTAATGTGTTTAATAGCATGTAAAAAAGCACCTTATAGACATGTTAACAAGGCATTAAACAGATTGCTTCTCACTGAAGAGGGTCTTTAATTTTATATCCTCAAATTACCACAAGCATGTGTCATTTAGGACAGATACTAAAAGCCTCTCTTTCTATTTTACTGTATGACTGCCCTTAAAGCAGATGTTTTTTCACCCGGAAATTTCCCATCCGCTGAATTTACCATGAAGAAAATGTCAACAGTTAGAATATTATTAACCAGTGTGAACTAGAAAACCTAAAACGTCACCTCTATGTATGAGGATGTGGAGGGGAACTTCAGATGACCTCCACATTTCCCTCGGAGTACCTGTCAAATACAGTCATATTATTTAAGACTATTTTCTGGCATTTTTTCTACACTTGGAAAAAAAAAGACAACCTAAGCTCAAAGCTCCAGTAGAAATAGCCTGTTCTGAAATTAAGGTCTTTTTTGTTTTACAGACATACCTGCATACTAATGTGCAAATTCATTGGGCCCTGAGAGTCTGGGGTTCTGCTATGTCCGTTCCTCTTCTATCACACAATGGTCTGGTTGGTCCACAATAACTTTCACTTCATCCTCATGCAGTTCTTCATAACAGACAGCAAACTGCAGCTTTTTACCAGATTGTAATGCAGCAGACCTCCACTGTCAAGATGGCAGCTACTATACAGAAGAATGCACAGTGGTGATATGTTTAAGGAACGGTTTTCAGGTTAGTACAACATGTTTATTGACTTCCGTGCTTTAGTGTTTAGTTAAATTTTGTTTCCAAGAGATAGGATGTTATTAAAATTCAGTTTGTTTTCCTCTTTACAAACACACATTACAAATGAAAAGCCAGAAAGGCGAGGGACATGAATAAGCTGGTGTTTCCAAGCAGGTGTGTTGCAAAATACAATTAACATCCAATCAATCAAAAAGTTATTGATGCACATTGAAGCTGTTCTGGCTTTTTTTTTTTTCATGCATATTTCATATTTGTGGTCAGTTTGACAATGAAATGAATGAAATGGTATCAAGAACAGGGGCCTGGATTGTAAGGAAAAGGTAAATGCTGAACCCACGTGTCCCATACTTCCCATACTGCCTGGTTTCTGTGTCATCAAAGCGCATGACATTCATGGTGGCTGGAAATATTGCCCTTCCAGTGTCAGCAGCCCAAAGGCTTGGTGTTGCTTCACTTTTTGATTTGTGCACTCCTGCCAAAATGAGCACATCCAAGTCTTTACAACTGTCCCCATATACACACCTCCCCTTTAAATTTGTCATCAAGAACGTCCTTATCGATCAACCATAAATGTGGTGTTATGAAGATCTCATATGCAGATTTTATGTCTTGGACATGGTTGGCAGCATATCTGGTGGGGCCTGGAACCATTTTGATGACATTACCAGCACTGTGTACCCTGCTGTTCAAGTGTGGAGAGGGACCATGATAATGTTCCATTCTTCTCTAGTGTGTTTGCTGGTGGTGGAGAAACAACAGCAGGATAAACATTGAGGCTCTCATTGTCAACAGGACTCCTCAAAATCAGGGTCCTCCTCAACAACCTGTCTCACTTTCTCCTCTTGTCACTTTCATGGTCAAAGAGATGTGACAACACCTCACTGACAGAAACCTTTGATAACAAGTCCTTTTCATTTGACAGAGCAGGAAGAGAGCACACAGAGCCCCAAGAGAAATGGTTTAGAAGGCTGCTGTGCAAGTTTTAATGTTTGCTCCACCCCCTTCACGTGAACCATCTGGTTCTTGCACTACTACAGTTATGGCTACATTAGGGCCCTACAGCTTTTTGAAGATTATAAAAGTGCATTTTATTGTGACCTCAACATCATCCAAAACAAGCGTGTGTGCAAAATATTGATATTTTGTTTTATACAGCTAAAATAGCCTAGAGTCAAACTGGCCCCAAAGAACATTGATGTGTATAGGACATTGAAAACATGTCATGTTAATTTTATGTTATTTTATGTTTATGTTAGTTGTCCCAATTAAATTAGGAAGTCATGAAGCACAAAAAAAATATAAAAAAGTCAGTCATTTATATAGAGATGTTGAATGGAGTCAAATTGACTCCAAAGATAAGAGGGTTAAAACTCATGTCGCCACATTTGACAGGGAAAACAGATGTCTTTATTAGAAGTTAATACTTCACATAAAATAGGTCCAACATATTTGCAAACATCAATGACAATTAACCTTTAAATAACAAAGTAGTCATTTACATTGATAGTCTGTTTACTTTTACAACTTAATTTTATGAATGACCAACATTTCAGAAATGTTTTGCTACATAATGAAACCTCAGTTGTATTGAGCCTTCGCACATCAAGCTACAAACTTTCCTTAAGTTTTTCCCCACATAGCAAACAGAAAAAGCAAGACACCGCAGGGAATTGAACCCTGTCCCGACAAAGTCAGGAGTGCCACCACCGGGGTCTTTTGCTTTTTTGTTGTTGCTATAGTACGGGCAAAAGCAAAACCTGAAGGAACAAGGAGTTTGTTCCTCCAGGAAAAGAAAACCCCTCAACACCTGGCTGCTCTATTATCCTGTCACCACATGGGGATTTCTCTTGGTTCACGAGGCTGAAACTAGAAGAAAGAGACAACTGGTTTCCCCGATCCCCGGCATCCCCACAACGACACTGTATTGGCGTATGACTGATTCCATGAAATCCGGTTATCCATATTAACAAGGCCACAATACCAGCGTCCCGTGCGATACTCAACGCCTTTTCGGGAGGATTCGCGGGTCAAATGAACAGTGAAGGCTTTCTTGCCAAGTTTACGGCTGTAATGGAGAGAAGACAGACAATTTAAACCTCCCCACCCCACCCCACCCCCGACATAAACCCCACACTTTGACCAATGTGACAAATCATGTCAATAAGGTTGTCGTTTACCGCGACGAAGTAGCAGCATTTACCACAGCTATTCTTCCTCAGTGATGCGCAATTCCTCAACGTATTAAAGATTGAACCCTAGAAGCTGGTTGTACCAAGTCATCCCATGACTCCCCGCAGACGTAAAAGTTGCCTGGCTCAGTTGTAAATTAAGCTGAATGAGAAATCTGAAAAGGGAGAGAGAAGAGTGTTGCCCCCCCAAACACCCCTGACCATACACTACTGCAATGTTTGACAACGACTTCATGAACATTATGTTGTGTATTACAAATAAAATGTTATGCAGAGCTGATGTGCATGCAACATTTTGAGTTACACATTAAAGCCATGATGTTAAAGAAAAATCAAGGGAACCGAAATTACTTAACTTAGCACCCACGAGACTGAAGTGATGCAGTATTAGCGAAACAAGCTTGCAGCTCTTGATCTTAATATGACAGGATTCTCAGTGTTCCATCACAGGTTAGGCCATCCCAGATGACAAATAAAGACAATTTTAGGCAATTTGACCTGAGAAACCAAAGGGGGGAAAGAAAAAGGCACACACAAACACACAGAGAGCGGGGCTTCTGCGAAGGACGTCAGGGGTTCAGATTTAAGCTCAAGCGCACAAGGGGTTGGTACTTCATTCAGGGGCCACACTCATATTCGCTGACAGCGTCCACAGATGGCTTTGCATTCAGAGGCAGGCGAGATCGAAGTGGACAGACGAAAATGATCTGAAACAAAGAGTGATCTACACAACACACCCACCACACAATACTCAAAGATTCGAGTTCTACTCATCTTATGGTCTTAAGATGCAAAGCAATAGGGCCCCAAGGCCAAAGAGGAATATGCTAGTAAAGCATTGTTACTGATGATTTGAGGTTAACATAAAGCCAGTTCCAAGATGTCATTTTGTCAACTACAACATTGCAGAAGTTTTGACAAGTTAAGCCAACATCTTACTACATGCTCCAGGTTAGAGGACTTCACTCGTGCTTGAACCAGTCTTGCACTGTGATTTCTGTGAAGAGAAGTGTAGGGATACGCCTATCCAAAACCAATGCACAATATAAACTAAAGGCAACACATTTGCGCTGCATTTCAGACCAAATTAAAGCTGCACCATGCACAGCTTTCCTCAGCTACTTCAGTTTTGAAACTTCGCACAGTTGCGCGTTACCGAGATGAATGTGACCAACCTGCCACCTGCACAGTTGCACAAGGGCAAGCAGCTGAGGGCTAATTGCTCTATCAATGTAAGGACACATCAAAAACAACCTGACTCCTTTTGTTCAAACTGCATGTTGGTTGAATTCAAATGGCAGGATGATTCCTGTGTTGTCCTAGGTAGACTGCATTCTTCCTTTGGACTGTTCTGTAAGATCAAAAAGGCAGAAAAGAAACACCCTATGCCCCTCCCCACAGTATCGTAGAACTGACTATTGTTATCCTTACCCAAATGCTTTACTGCAGATAACGTCAGAATCAATGAAGGTCCATCAAATCTTCCCATTATCACAAGAGACTTTTGTTGAGAAAGCACACCAGTGCTATTTCTACTGTCAAGTATAGCAAGTTGCTTTCGTTTCAAGAATAATGCGGACAGTTATGTCCATTCAAGATAAGTAAACCCTATAGGGCTGAGAATTTTCTGCTTTCCAACATCAATATTTGATGGATTCAACTTATCTGCCTTCAATTTCCACTTTGAAAAGGATGTCATTCGCGCCCAGGTCACATCCGTGCTCTACAAAGCTCCAAGCTTTAGTCATACCTGAAAAAGCACAAGAAAAGCTCCCCCACACAAGCCCCCAAAAAGAACAAATGCATACCAAAACTGTATTCAATCACAACAAGCTATGCATTTATTATGCAATAAGAAAATCCTTTACAGATAGTTGACTCATTGTATTGTCAATACAAGGCACAGTAACTAATTGCAAAGGAATTGCAATGGAGGCACTTAGCCAAACAATGAATGTTAAGGTAAATGTGAACACATTTAGTGACCTTACGTGATGCTCGATGCGCAAGGAAACTTGTACATACAATGAGTTAGGAGAGTTCCTGATGGTCTCGGGTATTGGAAAGCGCACAGGACACAGCACACTGAAAAATGCAAAAGGAAAAAGCCTCTCTCCCCACAATACCCCTACCCTAATACAATGAAGCAGTACAGACTTACTGAACAATTACTGGCATTACAGCAATGACAAGTACAACTGCCTTAGCAAGAAGAACTGTAAGACTATGAACACAATTCACAAAAAGATTGAAGCCATTTTTCAAAAGAATCATTTAAATACCGCAGGCCTGAGCACGAGGGATTCCTTCCTGAACTGTAGAGACGGACTTTGGATTTTTGATGGGTGGGCCATACTACTTAATCTGAAAAAGTCAAAAATACACAGCCCCCTCCCGACCCAACAAAGCATCTTGAAGCCTTACAGAATTACAATGACGTCTAATAAAGAGACTTGTTACCACACTCCCTGGGGGAAAGAGCTTCTTGCTACATCAGGAGACTAGTTTTGAGGTTGCTATCCTGCGTGGCAAAGTGTCCACTTGAATCTTGTTGGGTGCGCCTCGATGTTTCCTATTCAAGCCACTTGTTTTGGGCAAAGGGGAGCTGTGAAGTCTAGGAAGAGACTGATTAACGCCCCACATCCCACCCTCCCATCATCCCAAAGTAGTGCATGAAAGCCCATTAACAACATGTTCCAAATAATGCAAAAATTAATTTGTAAAAATCTAAAAGATTTATTGAACAATACCAAATACCTTCCTACATCTCGTTAAACCACAGTGGATGCACATGATCCCGATCCATAGCACTATTGTAAATAAGATGAGCTCAACTTGTACCAAGCGGCTAGCACAGGGGGGATTCTTTCGATGATCACCTTTTAGGGGGCCAGGCCTGTGAAAAGAAAAACTCCAAACACGTTTTAAATACCCCCTCCCCCCCTCATAACCCATAAATTTTTACTGTCTAGGACCAACTACAAGTTCAGTACACGTTACTGTATACTTTACAGCAAAGGTATTGAATTAATGTACAGGATAGTTACACCCACATGTACATTTCATGCATTCACTCACTGCTTGGGTTAAGAGGTAGCTGTAGGTGATCTGTACCAATGAGACGCAGCTGAAGTACTGAAGGGTCGTATACGCGTCAACTGGCCGCACAGGAGACCATCCACTTTCACACTCCAATGCCGAAACCTTCTTTGGGGGAAGACCTATCGAACAACAGAGGACTGCCTCTCCCTCCGGCTGGGGGAACTACTCCTGATCGCAGGGGGTAGAGAAGTCCGATAAGAGGGTCCTCTCGCCAGAACACTACCAAGGCATTCATCACAGCAGACACCACCACACTCATGTCCGCGCACAACAGGAGGAGTGACCACGGTACAAAACGCTCGAAACGGTACATGGCTTGCCTGAAAAGAGGAAGAGAAAGCTGTGCGAGAAATTGTGTACGACAACAGTTGTGTCTAGAAAGTAGAAAATAGTAAAAAATCTAACTAAATGCCTGAGAATTTTACAGATACCTCTACCCAACATACAAACCAATGCTTGCTTTACACTTGTGAAGCTAGACGACCTGTCCCACCCTCAGCACTGGCTGGCTTGCTCTGGAACTGCTGCAACTGCGTCAGCGCTGGCCACTCTGCTTCTACACTGCCCTGTCCCTTTGGCTCCCTCTGGTGTGCACCCGCCGACAGCTCCTGTTGCTGTTGTTGCTGCTGCTGCTGCTGCTGCTGCTGCTGCTTCCTGCTCTTTGGAGACCCCTCTGCTCATCCCTCCATGCCCTCTGGTCCTGTCCTGCCTGGCTCCACTCTGGTCCTCCCACGCCCTCTGGTCCTGTCCTGCCTGGCTCCATTCTGGTCCTCCCCGTGTCCCATGGCCTCGCTCCACGCTGGTCCTGTGATCTTCATCTAATTACTAAGTCCATTCTTCCTGACAATAACTAAGTCCATTCCTCCCCTCGATAACTCAGTCCATATCCCCCCCAGAAAAAAAAAAAAAAAAAAAATCTTCTGTCTTCTCTATGCAACAACACATGTTTAAAAAAAAGCTGATAAAGTCCAAATAGAATCACCTAGGCCTGTGATTCCTAGAGGTACAGCTAGAGCTCTAGTAATACAAGCTTTGAATCCTTCCAAGCTGCTTTAAAAACTTCTGTTTCCTCGGTTATCTCTGGTTAACGCAAAAACATTGACTTGACACTTTAAAAGCCAAACTCGTAATGACTGATAAAGCCATTTTAGTAAAAGGAATAAAAACAAAACAACAAAAATAAATTGCATTGCAAGATGCTTGCCCAAACAATGGCATAGACTGAAAAGACTTTGTACAGCTCAGCACAGAAAAAAAATGATTGTCTTGATTGCTTCTTTGGTGTCAAAATACAATATTTTCTCCTATTTAAAAAATCAGATTATATGCAGTAGATTTTACTGCCCGTTCTTTCTCCTACTGCAATGCCCTGTAGTCCGAGACTATCGCTTTAGTCGTTTAGACATGGTAAATCTATTTTAAAACCACATTTCTTATGTTATTCAGTTTCCTATTTATAGCTGAGCTGCCCTGTGGAAACGTCAATTGAATGACTGCATCATCTGCTTCAGATCTGCCTTTGACACTGTTACCAGTCTGACCCTTCTATTCTGAGCCTGCTTTATGACCAAGTCAGTTGACTAGTCTGACACTGAGTAAGCATTTCACCTCACTGCCTTGATAATCTCAAAGTAACCTTGTCACTTAAGAGCACAACTGCTAAAACAGTTCATTTTGATATTAAAGGCTGATTTTACACCTTCAGATTCGAAAGGTGAAAAAAAAATGCAGTGGCTCTGTTTAGCTTTGAAGTCGTTAGTCTGGTAAAACCCTGACCACGCCCTTAGAAAAACGTCATTACGTTATTCGAATAGACCAATAGACAACGTTTACGTGATTCTACGTTACGGCTCCTACGTTGGACACATTTAAAGTACTAATTAATAATCTATTGTTATAAAAAAACATCATCGTCACCTGTTTTGTCGATAGTTACAACACTTAATTCAATTAAATATGAAGGACGACGAGACGACTGTCGAGGAATAACGATCTAACCACGTCAGTCATATTTGGCTCGATTAGCCTAGCGTTAGCTCAATGGCTGTCGACGGAAAAAAAAAAAGTAAAGCTGAGGTTTCAAAACAAGAGCGACTTTCAGTGTCCTCCGCCCGTAATTAAAAACAAAAGACCGTAAAATCTACACTCCGTATCTTTAAGTTGAAGCTATTTGCCTTCGAAACAGGGCCTCACATTCGTTAACGCTTATCAAACCATAATAAATGCCAACTCTTCCTAGTTATAAAACAATTTAGAGCAAATCTACAGTATTTCGTAAGTATTGACCGAATCTCGAAGCATTAAAAGGACAAAAACAAGATTGGTTTAACCTGCGACGCCCGAAAACGCGACGAAACCGTATCGCTGCAGTGTGAGCTGAGATGGCGTCGCTATCGGTATTTATATCGTCTGGGGTGATTTGGCCGAGGTATTTATCCGACAAGAAAGTAGTCCCTCTTGGACACACATCTAATATTAAAAAGATTGATTGTAGCGTTACAGCCGAATTCTAAACATGAAGGTAAAAGAGGAACCAAGGTGCGACAGTAAACGAGGCACTCATTAACACAGTTTTGGTACAAAACGAATAAAAACGCATTATTACAGCAAAGTGAGTGATGTGACGTTGTGTCCATATTTACACGTATGTCACTATCTGGAAATATATGAAGCCCAGATTCGTGGTACAAGTTGTATTAAAAAGGCATATTTCAACCTATTATGCCGTTAAAACCAGTGTATGATTTTGAATCAAAACAGCAGACGTCACACCACGGCTGGGCGGATTGATCCTTACTTGTGTGTAACGAGGTCCTACAAACCGGATCAAACTAGAACGTGGCTGAGTTGTCGGATCTACTTCCCCTTTACTGCAATGATATGCTGTTTTTGATTGAAGAACAATACAAAACAGCCAACTCATCTGCTTTAACTCAGATGGCACATGTTCAATAAAGAGGTTTTCTTTCATGGTGAGCACCACCAGCGTTTACAGCGACAACTGGGCAATCTTCGTAGTCGCTGTAAAAGCTGTTGGTGCTTGCAACATTTTCTTTATGAAAAATATGATGTAGTTCTGCTTACAAGCCTCCAGTCTAGGCCAGAGCAACCTATGATTCTTGAATTTAAGTGTTATATGAATAGGGTATTCGTGCAGACTGAAGATAGTACGTGATATAACTAGAAATAACCAGAAACATCCAGTGCCAGAAAGTGTGTTGCTGTGGAAATTTACCAGGACTTCAAGGCCAAATCGGGAGTTACTCGTGTTCACCAGCAGAGGGTGCAGTGAAAGTACGTGTCATTTGTCACATCTCTCAGTATTGAAAACTCCTTGCGCCACCCTTTGTGTTTCGAACTAGAGAACTGGTTTTCAGCATTGATTACAGTCACATAGACAAGTCTGGGCAACTTCCCTTATGCAACTATGTATATTAGTGTGGCTCACAGTGATGATCTGCAGCCGACTGAGGGGAGTAGTCCTTTGGATGAGTCCCAGCCCCTCCTAAGCCCAATGAATTGATCTCTTTCAGTCACTGAGCAGGATATAGTCAGTGCCATGCTAAGAAAGAGAGGCATTCATATGATAACCAAGCGAAACAATAGGGCAATCAAGTTGATTTAATTGGTGATTAAAGCCACTGAGGAAGTCTCCTCTAATTTGCATTGAGTGAATCATAGATCGGAACAAATGATTTTTTAATAATAATAATTTGGAAATGTCTGGAAATAGAGAGGGCATTTGTATTAGAGGAGGAAATTTTACAATACAGAAAATTATAGTCCTATGTGATGATGTTAGCATATTGATCATAATGAAGATTTTGTGTACAACCAGCTCACAAACCTTATTTGGCTCATCAGACAAATGTCAAAGTGGTCACTTACTGTTTTACAACTTTGTCAGTAATGAATAAAGAAGACAGCTGCCACTGTGAAATATGATGAGATGCATTTGTAATAGCGAACAAATTCATAATGTCCCCTGACATCACCCGCCCTTAGTGAATGTAATTACGTAGGCCTCAGCTGAATGGTGGCAGGAAACCTCTTAAAATCAATGGGGAAAGAGAGGACAGTTCAATAGCTTTGATTGATCCCTATATGTGTTTTTTGTGTATTTTTAATATTAGTGGTTAAAACAACTTAAACAAAACCCCCCAAAAAGTCACACTAGATTATAGGACAGAGACAAAAAAGTGAAACACAAAGCAGCCCAAACATACAGCAAACCTATTCTGAAATCAGGAAGGTAAACGAGGCCTGTTATAGATCCTGTTCCACAGGGCTTGATTCAATTGTCTCCTGTAAGAGGACAAAGGTCTCGCTCTTTTAGCTGGTTCAATGAGCACCCAGCTGTTACATCAGGCGTGATGCAAAATCAAACCACCATCCAGGAATTCATACATTCCTGCTCACAAGTCGTGATTCTATTATTCTGCAGACAGACGCTGAGGGAGACAAACTCATTCATTTAGGTGGATGCATCAACAATCCAAACAGCTGGATACTCTCCCAAGGCACTTCTGCTTTTTGTAGACTGTTGAAGACAAATATTTTGAGGACTGGATTTCGTATAGTAACTAGATTAGACATTCATCTGTTTTTCAGAAAACCTCACCACATGCTTCACCTCTTTTTGTGGTCAGAATGGCATTTAACAACAGCTTGATGGTCTTTGCATTTGACGTCGACAGACACGTTATAGCTGTGTAGAGTAAAAAAAAGAGCAGCAAAGCAGGGGAAAACAACAGAGTACCAACACGGATCACTATCAGTGCCCCTTGTACAGTCAACCCAACCAGGACGGCATCGACAGCTTGCCACCAGGGAAGAGAGAGGTGATGGAGAAGTTTTTTAAGCCCGTTCACAGCCCTTCTGCACCAGATGAGATCAAGCCACGTAAGAGCCATCACCACCACCAAGACTCTCAGTCACACAGGTAGGATGGCTTATTTTAAGCTTTAACATTTATATATTATAAAATAACTTAAGCATATATATCTTAACCCTCCTAGTATCTTTGGGGTCAATTTGATCCCATTCAATGTTTCACATCTCGAAATAAGTCATTGACATATTTTTCCCAGTTTTATTTAAAGGGCCATGTACACATAAACTTGGGTAACAATTTTAATTTAAATAACAATATATTTTAAATTGCTGGGGTCGAATTGAACCTGTCATTACATTTGAAGGTAATAGAAGGGTTAAGTAAGTTCCTTTTCTAATCTAATTTGTTTTGTTGTCATTGCAATGAGTACAACAAAAAGTAAGGTGCAGGCCTTTTTGTGCAAAAGCAAAATATTAAAACTTTGTGAAAACTTTGTAGTCAACTATATACAATATAATATATAAATATATAACTTTATATAAAAAGGTGAAATTAAATAATAAGCATGAGCACAGTGTATATTGCACACAGTGGATATTGGACAGAGGTAGTGGCAGTTGTATATTTACAATATTTTGCACTTATTGCGACAAGGAAGCATTTATGGCTCTGACAGCAGTTTGAAAAAAGCTGTTTTTCAGTCTATTTGTCCTGGTTTTGATGACCCTGCACCGTCTGCTCGACGGCAGTAGCTCGAACAGGAAATATCCTGGGTGGCAAGATAAGGTTCCTCTCGTACTGGGCAGGATTGCTATTGCAACAACACATCATCAGCAGGGTAAAACTGATCCATCTCATGACAGTCTAAACCCAGCTCATGTTCCCTATTAGTGGGTGAACAATCCAACGCTTGGTGAATTCTGCTTCACAATGATAGGAAAAGCTGATATCAAAGGATTTTAATTATTATTTTTTTAATTCAATATAGTTAGTACAGCTATATGTACACATTTACATACTTTTCCTTTGCTGTAGGTACACAAGGTTTGATGACACTGACAGAAACGTTGATGACAGTCGAGGGAACCATCGCCACCATCACCACAGTCACTACATCCACGACAGCTCTCCCCATGATGCCCACTATCCTCATCAGTTTCACCATAGCGAGGAAGATGAGATACTTTATGACCACCGCACCCCTGTAACTTTCTCCAGGGCCTCTTCCTCTTCTCTCTCCTCCTCTTCCTCCTCTTCTTCCTCCTGGTACACAGAGCCAAACGATCCCTTCTCTCTTCGTCATGCTGAGCGGCCAGCGCACTCCTTGTCCTGTTCCAACATCCCAGATGTGCGCATAGGTTTCCAGGAAGACGACAGTAGCGAGCCCGTTGTCTTTGCTACCATTCACCATGGCAAAAAAGACAGTGTTTGTAGCGAGTTACAGGAAGGCTCAAAACAGAGGAGAAAGCATGGTTTCTCTTCACTTGACCGAGGTCACAGTCGGAGTGATGAAGGTTTTCTGCAGGGTAATGACGAAGGAGAACAACCCAGAGCATCGCACATTAACTATGGGCCTTTGTATAAGACAGCTAGTTTGAACCGAAGCCTGGCTTTCAGTGAGGAGGACATTCTGTTAGGGGTCTCCAGAGGTCCCAAGAGGGCAGTGTCTTCCAGCCAGCTACCCAGCAAAGGAATCCTCAAGAACAAGGACAATCAACCTGACATTCGCAAGGCTAAGTCGATGGAGGTGCTGTCCCCGAGAGTTTCCAAAGGGCAAAGTCAGAGTGGGCAGAAGGGTAAAGGGATGACACCAGCTGAGATACAGGAAGCGAGGGCCAAGTTTGTACAAGGAAAGGTACAATTCTCTGCTTTTCTAGATGAGATTACTAAACAGGTTATAAGTCCATCGGATCTCAACATCTTGGGTGTGAGCAAAATTAAAACTACTGAAAAGACATCTGCCCCAGCCCCAACACCTGTCCCAGTCAAGCCTCAACTTCCACCCAAGAAGCACAGAGAGAGTACAGGTAGTGAGACGGAGCAACATCGTAAACATACCAGTAGAAAGGAGAAAGGAGCTTCCAGCAGCTCTGGAAGACACTCAGACTGCTCCAATCCTGACAAACTGATCTCATATTCAGCCAGGAACCACCACGGTAGCCCTCCGCCTCGTCACTACCCCCATTCTGCCAACCACAACACCCATCATGCAAGCAGCCGTAAAGACCGGAGACCCTCGCCCACTGGAGGCTCCGTGTCGGAAGACAGATATGGCAGAAGTGGTCCTCACCTCACGGATGGAACCAGCACCAGCCCTGAACCCACTCAGCCCAAACAACGGCACCACCGCAAACAGCAGCCCAGCACCTTCCACGCCCAGCATACCCAGCACTTCCCTCAGCTGGCGCACACAGGCGCTGGGCAACAGGGGCCAAACGTCTCCCCTCCATCCGCAGCCCAGGGTGCAGGGCCAGGTGTTGGATCTGAGTCTTCATCCACAAAATCTGACTCATCCAGGGCCAGAGACACAGCCTCCACAGCTACCAGCCACAGCTCAGAGCAGAGTGGTCGACACCAGTCACAGCATGCGGGGCACCCTAAACAGCACAGAGTGAGTCCACTTTAACGGTGTTTTTAGTCTTTTGGTAGGATAAAATGAAATGAGATGTTAGTGAAAAGAGAGAAATCTGGCTTCAGATTATGAAAAGAAATGTCAGGAGCTTGGGTGTCTGTATCTTTAATATCATCGATCACGTGTACCACTAGGCTACCGTTGATATGTGCAGGCTGCCTTGCTATCACCACTGAAATGTGGTGGTGCCATGGCATAAACTTCTTTCACTTTAACTTTAAGAAAAAAATAAACCCCCCAACTTTCTCAGTTTGAACCACCATAAAACAATACAGAAAAACAAATCCAACCATCTGTGGTACTGAAAGCAGGCAGCAGCAGTGGCTTTTCATCTGCTTTATTATTCTTAGTGTTCATATTCTTATTATTAGTAGTAATGATAAATAAAAGCTAAGTGAAGTGCTTTAAAAATGTATCTGTCACATCTGACCACAATAAAAGTGAGCTCCCCTGAAAGCCATGTTGTAGATCACACACTGCTTATGTCAGAAAGTCTGAAACATGTTTTGGTTGAAACATAATCACAATATATACACAATAATCTTAATGCAGGCCAGGTAACAAAAAAAGAAAATCAACTTGTCTTCTGTCATTCATCACATAAGCCTAAAGGCCCAAAAGTAATAAGTCATAATAAGAGACTCATAAGTCATTAACTAGTTAATGTCATTTTTGTAAGTTTTCATTTTAAGATTAAATTACTCAGCGTGAGCAAAACACTGGAGACACACACAAGTGTTCTTCAGATGTGGCATTTGTGAGTCAAATTGAGATATATAAGGAAATATGGAAATAAACCAAAAGCAAGAACAAACTGCAGCTGCTCTATATAACATTTTAAACCACTATGACGTCTATATTCTGCGTATAGTCACATTAGTCGTATCTTATCATGACAGACTGCTGAAAAAAACCCTGTGTACTGGATGAATAGTGATAATGAAAAACATTTGTAAGCAGAGCCAATGCTTAAGCTCCTGAAGGCGTTGTTCCTGATTAGAAAAAGAAAACGAGTGTAGCAAATGTAGGGTTGCTTCTCTCTTGCAGAGGCAGCGTAGCTGAGTCACAGGCTGTGTGGGCCGAGTCAAACACTACGCATTGCAAGCTGAGTCATTCTTCAGCAATGCAGCAGATATCTGTGCTGTGCGTCAAGGGAAAAATCCTTTTGAAAGTACCTGACAAATCCGTTTAGATGGCTCATTGCTTCTTTTCAAGGCTTTGCTCTTTATATTCTATGGACTGACTGTGCAGACATATAATGTTACAACACACATCCACTGAGACAAATACTCACACCAGCAACCAGCACTGTACAAAATGTAAGTGTGAGTCACTTGGATAGTATCATGTCACTCTTATGTAAGAATGTACTCAGACTTACACTCTTGTGTACTGATAAATACACACAACATTACATAACATTGCCTTTTTCCATGTGGTAGCAGTGTAGAATCTGGTCCCACTTGGTTTGCTGGGTTTAGTGAACTCACACATACACACACACGTACATAATCACACATGTACAAAGAGGAAAATCCTGACAACTGATCGATGCTTGTAGTGTGTTTCCTGCACGAGTCTACCATAACTCAATAGTTCATTCAGTTTGTTAGTAATGGAGTGGCAACCTGTCCTGGGTACACAATGTCTGCTGGGGAGGCTCCAGCTATAAATTAATGGATCATGTCCTTACTCCTACCTTTATATCTCTATTAGTTTATCATTCAAGGTCAAGCCTCGAATCAGTCTTGAACTGCTAATGGTGCTTATATCTCCCTGTAGCTACTTTAGAAGTTTTTTAGTTTGTGCCTGTTTTTCTTTAAATGGCTGTGTTAGAAAGCTGCAGTGCACATTGTAAAATATCCCCAGAGCACATTATATTTGGCTTGTGATATGTTTTTCATTGTATTGGAGCTCGTCCAAACCACTGGAATTCAAATGCAACAATGACTGAGAGGGTGAAGTAGGTCTGACTTTAGGGGGTAGTGCTCAGGGAGTGTTCACAATCACAGTGAAATAGTAAAGTATTGCATTTGCAAATTAAAGCTGAGGGTCGTTGTACACAGTCATCATCTCATTTTAAATTCAGTCTGTAGGAATACAAAACAAGACTGTCCACATACTTATGATAAGTGAATTACAATTAGACTGTATCCTAAATCATGTCGTATTTAATTGATAACCTCACCCACTGTCTTCTCACCCTTGTGCTATTCTTATTCCAGGACATAATGTGTGATGCCGACCATGTTCAGTAAGTGTCTGTTATACTTTGCACTTCACATTTAAGTACAGATTTTCATAATGTTTCTTTCTGGCTCATTGTGTTCTCTCTGCGTCTGGCTCATGATGGGTCAGTGGTTATTGATCACACTAATGAGCCTCCTCTCTCCCTTCACTCCTGTTTAAACAGGAAGAGGTGTCGTTATGGAACTCATTTATATAACCACCTCTGTGTTGTCAGTAATATGCATATGCGACAGGAAAACTAAAGTGAAGATGAAAAAAACATTGCTGAATGAATTTTAAAATAACTTTAAAACTGCTAGATCTTAGCACTAATAATTGCCACCCTGCTATATGTGATGTATAGTTCACAAGTCCAGTATTTTAATTGTTTTGATGGATTCATCTGTACAATGGGTGCAATTTGAAATCTTTGTTTGTTGTTTTGTTTAAAAAAAAAAAAAAAGCACACATACTGATTTACTCATTGCCAAACCTCTATAGCTTGATCAAATGCCATAAAGTGCCATACAGCATATAAAGCAGAGAGCTTTATGACTTTATCCACATCATTTCCCACCCTTAATTTCACATCTACTGTGTATTCATGTAAAATAGCAAACTATTGCATGATTATGATCTGGATCCAAAAGCAACAATTCAGAACAGTCCTTGGTAATTATGCTTTGAATGTGTGTTCCATGGATTCTCTGTGTTCAGGGCACTGCAGGAGGAGAATGCAGATCTTCATCAGAACTTGCTGCAGACAGTGGTTTGCATAGAAAGCCTGGAGGGAGAGTTACAGAGAACCAGGGACGAGCTTGGCCATGTCAAGGAGAAATATAAAAGGTTTGCCAACTTGAATAGAACAAAACTCAACATGCAAGATGGATTAATGTTGCGTATGCCCTGTGGCTTGTATGCACAGTTAAATACTGACGATTACATGAACTAGACTTTCACGTGTAGCACTATGATTCAACAAATAAAGGACAGCTTGCCTCTATATGTGAGGGCATGAATCTATGGTCAATCCATCAAGTGAATCTATGGCTTTACATAATAGTTTCTATAGATTAATTGATCCATGGAACATACTGGATGAACAACATAGGCAACGGATGCATTTCCTGCTGTACATTTCTGTAGGTCTTTTGATCGTGCAGGGACTCCCTTTTCCTGCCTAACGGAGCCAGAGGGTCTCAGGGCATCTGTTCTTCCCCTTCACACTCACCCATTCACTGTCAGGCCTGTATTTATCAGCAAACAACTGCTGCTGCCCAGCAGGCACATACCAAACATTGCTCAACAGAGTGGAGTGAATGGTCACCTCACACTGGGCTCCAGTTTAGTGTCAGTTGTTGCATATTCAACAGGAGAGTTTGTGGTTGCCAGTTGCCTATGAAACAGCTGCAATTACTCCTCCTTACAGATAACAACATTGTAAAGACTTCTATACGCAGAAACAATAGGTATAATTGACCTGTATTTCAAAGGTCTTGCGGTTTGAGTGACTTTTCTTGCATTTTGTCATGTAGCCTTCTGCAGACACATACTGGGACCAAGCAGGCCAATAACCTGCTGGGGGAGCACTTGCATATAGCGGTGAGAAAAATGATTAAAGAGTTAGCTCATCTTGTACTTCACTCATTGCATTTACAACCCGCCTGCCTACTTTCATGCATTCATTCTTTGTTGTTTTGTGTGTGTCTGTAGTCAGAGAGCCTGAGCAGTGAGAGAAAGTATCTGCTTAACCGTGTGTCCCAGCTGAACTCTGAGCTGGAGGACGCCCATAGGACCATCGCAGCCCTGGAGAACATCAATGTGAGCACACTGACATCTACTGGACACCTGAGCACACTTCCACACACAGCACACATCTTCAGATAGCAAACATTTCAGCCTGACTCACACTTTGGTGCAACATTATGAAACCTTGTCTTATTTTCACCAGTTCCTAATATTTAAATACACACATGTTTGCAGTTGCAACATGCAGTTTTCTCAATTTGATCCTGATCACACCATGTCAAGTCCATAAAGTATGAAATCTTGCTCTGTGCATTCAGAACTCTCTACAAATAACTTTAATGCTATGGCCTTTTTCCAAACCAGACTGAAAGAGAGACATTAAAAAAATATTCTACAACTGCCTGTCAGTACAGCTTTTTAAAAAGCTTTTTATAATGAGCCCTCCCTTTGTTTCAAGCCTGTACTGGGAAATTTTTAACAGCAATTGATTATCTGATTTGAGTGGCCTAGCTGCAGAGCTGCAGAACAAATGGATTAATAGCTCTGAAATAAAGCACAGAGTCATACCATGAAGAGATTTAAAGGTATTCAACAGAATCTTAAACTGAATACAGCAAAGACTGGAGAAACGTGTTCCTTGTGTCACATGTTGGTGAGTAGTCTTTCTGCTGTGTTTTAATCCAACTGTAACGGGCAACTACTGTATCACTGAGACCTGTGAATATTGAGTTGTAATATTCCAGGTGGGAGAAAATGAGGATCTGTTTGATCTTGTTTGGTTGAGCACTGGTTTAACTTTGGCAATATTTGCAATTTGCCTATCGCAGAACTGAATGTGTGTCATAATGTGCTGATGAAAATAACATATCGATCAAAATCAACTCCCATGTTTCTGGCTGACCGCTTCGTGTTGGTTATTAGTGGTCCAAGGTGGGCAGAGATACTGTTAGAAACATGATCAGGAACAGTAATGCATCCTTCAGTCTTAACTGGGTTTAGTTGCAAGAAATTAGAAACCATCTAGTAAAGCACGGCAGTAGTGCAGAGAATCTAGATTGTGATGTTTTTCTGAACCAAGCAAGTCTTTCCTCTGGGAGTTGTCAGTGTGACAGGTTTAGGACACAGGGGTGAAATGGCAGCAGGGACAACAGCAGATATAAACTAAACAAAATACTGGGTGCAAGCATGGAGGAATTATCGAATGTGACTGTTGCACCAAGTCATCAGAGGGTCCCCAAGGTCACTATATACAAATGTAATCTAAACATAATCTACTATTTAGCATGCTCCCTCATTTGACACAAGCTGGAATAACACAATATGTACTTAATCTTCTGCTTTGCAAAAGCACTGCCAATTAAACAATGTCACTAAGCTTCTCCTAAGAATTAATACTTTTTTGGAGCTGTTTCACATCCATTTTCAATTTGTTTAAATTGTTTGCCAGTCGTGAGCAGCTCCTCCATTTCTTTGCATTCTGCGTGATGCATTATGAGAGGAAAAATAAGTACAATATAGATTGCCTGTAGTTAGATTTTTGCATACTTTATTTAGTCACTTTTCAGAACAGATGCACCACACACTAAAAACCTGCTTAGGAGGAGCATCCTGGAACACGCTGGGAACTCTGTTAAAGATGGCTGATAGGAACATTTTTCAATGGAAAGTGGAAAAGCTCAGCAAAAGTAGGACCGTCAATCATACATTTGGTATTCTCCTGTTTTTTTCTTTTTACTTTTCTTACTTGAATATTTGCATACATAATCTGATTTATTTGAAATATTAAAAAAAAAAAAAATTTTTTTTCCCCTTTTTTAAAAAACACAATTCAGGTGTACAATGTCTATTTAAGCCACTATAAGCCTATTTTCACATTTCTAAAGTAATTTAAATATGTCCGCTTGCAGACTATATTACATTTTAGGTAAATAGAAAGTAATATGCACCACAAGCTTCTTATAATAGTTTGTGTAGTAACTTGTATTAATAACTGCAGTGATCACTGTCAATGTAAATCTTCTGTGGCAGGATTTTTTTTTTTTTAAAGTAGACAAATAGTGAAGTTATTGTTTAAAGTAGAAGTGCAGTTTTCACCCAAAAGCGTCACTTCTGTGTGCAAATGGGTGAACTGTAGGCCGAGAAGACATTTTAAAATAGAGGCAATCAAAGAAAATGCTTTACAGACAATCTGTGGAAATTAGAAAATGCTATTTATCCTTTTTTTAAAAAAAACATTCAGTGTTTATGTTTGATGTTTTCTTTTAAAAAATTATTATTTTTTTTTACCTCAGGTACCATGTTTGATAAAGGATTTGTTGGAGAAGCACTTTGACTCAACTGAGGCCATACAGAAGTTTCTCACAACTCCTGCTCCAGTTAGCCTTTTGGCCACGGCCCTACAAACAGATGGCCAATCACGTCCTCCTAAAGTGGAGGGGGTAGCACATGATTGGTTGACAAAATCAGAAGCAAGTCCAGAGAGGGTCACAGCGTTCATGCCATTTAAGCAGGGCATCCTGCCGACAGGAAATGAAGGCAGTCTTTCAGGCCAAGATGAACCGAGTCACAGCCCCCCATTCTCTGTGGCTGACATCAGCACTGCTATCTATAAGAAAATGGCTGCCAGTTATGCTGCCAGACCACAGCCTCTCTACCCCCAAAGCCAGCAGCAACTTTCCCCTGTTGGCTCTAACCACGCTGACACCTCTCCAGACCCCCGGCGGCCACGTGTGGGTGTTGATAGCTGGAATGGAAAGGGAGGGTTAAAGGTAAAGCCTTTGGAGCAGGATGCTGAGGATGTGAACTCCATGTCCGCCCAGCAGATCCTGGATGATTTCATGCAGCAGCTGCAGGCTCACAAGGAGGCTGGTGGAGGGAAGAAGCAGCAGAGTGGGCAGGAGTGGGCGAGTGGAGTGGAACAAACAGGCAAAGTAGCTGACTGAAAATGTCATCATCAAAGGACATGGCAGGATGAATGTATATTCTCATCTCATTCCATCTAAATAGGAATTTATTTATGTTTTTGTGAAAAGGTGCCACATGCAAACACTGCTTTTCCAACATGCTGTTTGCTTGTAGATTATGTACTTTGAGGTAATCCATGAAGAAGACAGGGGCTCATAATGTTGAAACAAGAAAATTGCACAGTATAATACAAAATTTCACACTCAAAGACTCAAAGATCAATATTTGAAAGGAAAAACTTGCAGCAGCTGCATCAATACAATGAACAACAAAGTATAATTCCAAAATATTAAAGAATGATTATTCTATAACAGTGATATTTCAAAGTATAATTTAGAAATGTACGCCCATTTAAGTGGTAAATTTTAGAATAATGTGTCTTTCATAGCCTGTACCCCCCCTTTTTTTTTGTAATTTTCTCCCAAATTAACAGAGAGGATGTTGGTAATATAAAATGTAATCTGTCACGTAGAGGATGAAGTCACTATTAACAATGTCTGGTTTTTATGTTTCACAGCACCCAGGGTAGAGAGAAAGCACGTCTTACATTGTCTACGAATAGTAGATATTACTAGATATTATTGTCAGCCATGTGAAAAATGTGAAAATGTACCCGTTAACAAGTGTAGAAGCTTATCATGATTTTAGATTGCCAGCTTTTCAGTCCAGTAGTAAGCTTAACAGCTACGGTTGGCCTTTAAGACACATTACTGCAATGAATGCAAGGTTTGTAAAAGTTGTTTGTGACTTATGCTAATTGTGTGCTTAAGGATAATAAACTCAATTCAATAAATGACTTTTGAGTGTCAAAGGCTGAGATAGCTACCTGAGGAATGAAGCTTACGATCTTTAGAAATCCATCTCTTCAAATAAGTCTTTCAGACATATTTCAGCTGCAGATTGTTGTACTGTAGGTGTCAACTAAAACAATCTTGTTTCAACTTTTATTCATAATAATTTAAACAGGCACAATTACCTCTTGATTTTTATGCAGAAATACTTGAGTTTATACTGTATATTTGTGAATAGGAGCTCTTAACCTTGAGGGTTATAGTCAGAACAGAATAAAGAAAACTGTCATTAAACTAATACATTTGTAAATCATTTACTGTATTGTATAAAATATAATTTGGATTTTACTGTGCATGCAGATGTTTGTGGAAATAATTAGTGATTTTGTGCTTGTGTCAACATGATACGTGAAATAGCCGACCTTTCCTTTTTGAAATAATATGATGTCTGGTGTAGATGGGCATGAAAAAAAAATGGTACAGTTAAGACACAAAGTTGTGATTGTGTTCAGGTATTGTGAAGATGTAGATTAGGTGAAGTACAGCAGCTTATTACTGTTATTTTAATCTTTTTATCCCTAATCTTTCTCTGTATCTTGTCATGAAAACTTCTAGTCTGTGTCATTGCAGCTATTCAAACAATAAAGGTAATCATGTTAAATCAGTGCAGTGTCTCAGATTACAAATACATTCATCATTCATGATTTCATGTTCTCTTTCCTCTTGTCCACCATTACAAGTTGTTATGTAGTAAACAACATAAACACAGTTTTGCCTTTCACAAGGTCTGGTGGGTAATTGCTGAGCTACGGTGCCTGTAAAATGTAAAAAGTTTGCTTTTTAACATTAAATCATTGTCAATTTAATTTGGCTTTACTGACATGAATTTACAAAAAAATAATTCTTTCATACCAAAGTGAAACTGTATTTTGACAAAGTAATATCAATTAATTAAAAATCTAAAATGAACAATATTTGATTGCATACGTATTCACCCCCTTTAAAGTGACTTACATAAGTGAACACAAGTGCAGCCAGTTGGTGCTAGAAGTCACACAGTTAGTGAAAAGAAGATCATCTGAGTGCAATGAATGTGTCTGAAGTGATTGTAGTATAAAGACACCTGTATTTTGAAGGTCCAGTCACTGGTAAATGAGTACTCGTAGCTATAATACACCACGAAGGCAAAAGAACATTCCAATCAACTTTGTGAAAAGGGTATTTAAGAGCATTGGTCCATGGATGGATACAAGAACATTTCCAAGTAGCTAAATATCCCTTGGAGTACTGTTAAATCTATCATTAAGAAATGGATGAAATGTGATACATGCATAAATCTGGCACACTCAACAACTCAGTGACTGTGCAAGAAAACTATCAAAGAAAGCCACCAAGACACCTATGACTGAAGAAGTTACAAGCTTCAGCACCTGAGATGGAAGAGACTGTACACACAACAACCGTTAAGTGTTCCTCACTAGTCACAGCAACTGTTTCGTGTTCCTCACCAGTCAAAGCTTTGTAGGAGAGTGGCAAAGAGAAAGCTTTTATTGAAAAAACCCCATCAGATAAAAGAGCCTTCTTCCAGAGTCTTCACGTGCCCTCTGGTGAACTCTCGTCAAGATTTAATAGGAGCTTTTTCCGATTTAGTTTAACTGTACCAATTCTGTCGAGGGGAGGTCAAAGATGCAACCAGAAGCTTGTAGACGGCTACCGAGAGTGTCTAGTTGAGGTGAAAATGGCCAGAGGATGTTTGAACTGAATATTAGCAGTGATGTTGCTGCTGTTTTTTGATCCAACAGATTTTGTCATATTTCCTAAACATCTAAATAAATCTATGAAAGAATCAAAATGCATTTTTCGTTTTCTTTTTTCTTTTTTAAAATAAAGATGCATAGATTTCAATGATTCCATCACAGAACATTCAGACCTGTAGGAGTCTTTACTCTTATTCTTTACACATGTATGTAACTTTTGCTCAAGACTGTATATGCAGTCTTTTGTTTATCTTTTAATTTTACTATATACTTTTAAGTAATTTTTATTACTTTGTAAAAATCTCTTCATTTTGACATTAAAGTCTGTTTGTCTTTTGGTAAATTCTCAAATAAAGCTAAATTATATTGACTGAAATTTGAAATTTGAAGTGATTCAGTGTTGAAACGCAATAAAAAAGGGAAAATGTCATCGGGGTACTTTTTTTAGGCACTGTATCTGACCAACATTGCAGTCTTGGCCACTAGAGGGCTAAACAGGTTTACTTATGATGTGAATATGAGCACATCTCTCCATCAGTTTCATTGTTTAAAGACATCAGTGGAAAGGTGATTATTGGTGAACAGCAATGAAGTGAGATTTTATCTTTGTTATCTGTGTTTTAAGAGCGTGAGTCTGGCTTCAACTAAACTGTAGCTCTGATTCAAGCTGTCATAAATACCTTTAATAACATTTTAATCCTATTGATCCAGCCCCACCAACCTCCCTCCCTATTGCATTGCATCCATAATCCCCTACAAGCACAGCTCTTGTCTTACTTTCACTTTGCCTGTGAACTGGCCTCTGACCGACCTCCCTCAATAAAGTCCCTAAGGTCTTTCTGGGAACAATATTCACTTTATTTCAGTCTGTAAATTAATCTGTGGATATGTCATCTGGCTTCATCTAACCATCACACATAACTTAGAAAGTTATGACCTTTTCTCTCATTTCTCCAAAGCAATTTACTGCGGGTTGCTGGTCATTATAGTGCCGCATCATGCATGAATACAGAGTTTCTTTAACACTAAGTAATTTGGAAGGAGTAAGTTTGACGCACGTAAAGATAGTTAGGCTCAGGTTAAAACTAGAAGTGGGAAAAATGGGTTTCAGTGGGAAGAAAGCAAAGAGTTGAACAAAAGTTAACTGTTGCTTGTATTTAAAGCAAACTATGATAGGAGATGTCTTTCCTTTAACTAAATATTATATGTTAGCCTAACAATACATGAAAACACTGAATGGCACTGAACACTACATTTAGCTACACAGTCTCAGATATCATGATACACCAACACTAGGATATATTCTGAAACATGCATAGTGCCCAGCCTGTGCTGATGGGTTCAGGTACCTGTCATAATAGTCCAATAGGCCCTCCCATACTATGTGTCTATCAGAACAAGTTTGCTGATCAGACACTGGCCTGCTTTCCCATTGGCCCCTGGGCTTTAATAGGATCCCAGAGACTCTGTTGGGGGGATTACGATTCCAAACTCTCGACTTTGGCCAGTCTCTGTGTCCTCCAGCCATGGGTACAGCGGTTTAGGGGGGCGCCGGACACGGACAGAGGGGCGCCATCAAAAGACACCATCACATCAACAGGAAGAAATCGTTGGTTTCAGGGGGGGCTTTCAAGGGGGAGGCTGTGACGGTACGACCAACTGCTTTAGGGGGAAACCTGTCATCTCCAGGAAAAGGAATATCTCTTTTCTTCTATATTTTATTAATCATCATTTTTCCTACAATTCTCCCATGCTCTGGCTGCACTCATCTGGATTATAAAGAATCTTTTTGGGACAATTTCAGCAACCAAGTGCAAGCTTTTGGATTATCCTCTGAGGTTGACTGTGTCCTTTACCATCCCAGGGATCTACCTGCTTATCCCCTCCACCTGGAACAAATTAGATGAGCTCAACCTGATAATAACTCGCCAAACAACAAGCGCAAGGCCTGCACTGACCACTGGCCATTCCAGCAGCACAATTTTTGCAACGCTGAAAACACCTTCTTGTGAGCTTGTTTGCCTCTTTACATGCAGCTGGCCACCTCTGGATAGAATCCATTTCTGATCAGAACTGACTCCCTCCTCTTCTGTCCAGCTGATTGGTGCATAGCGGTAAACCATGACGTTGCTAAAGATGAAGTTCAACCAGCAGAGGCGGGTGCGTCTGGCCCAGGGCCTGTGGCTGCTGTCCTGGCTGGCAGTCATGTGCGGGGCCTTCATCTTCTGTCTGGGGGTTTACCTTAAGACAGAGCTGCTTCGTAGGTCCGAGGTAGAGAGAGAGACGTTTACACTCACATGGACACAAATATACATGTTAATGCTATGTCAACTAGAAGTCCAAGTGGTGCTGAAGTGGAAAAGCACTGCATGAATTTATTCAAAGTTGAACAAACATGGGGATGTATGCTCAGACTTTTGCTGTTGCTTGTGGTTGTTTACTGAGCCTGCTGTGTTCTCGCTTATCTGTCCCTTTCATTTAAACTTATCTCTACAGTTTAATCCACAAATACAAACATGCAGCGCACAAAATATTAGTGTAAACATATACATTCCTGCATGTTAAGTTGTGTGGGTGCAGTACGCTGAAAAGCCTCTCTGAAATATCAGCACTTCTACCTCAAAAATCATTAGTGCACAGTGTGTATTGAATGTGGGTAATGTGACCAGCAGGTGGAGGTCATAACCTCAGTAAGATTGGTGCATTTGTTCAAGCCCACTAGTCATTGGGCTTTATTGATCAGTGATTGATTTGGATAGGTTGGAAGAATTGATATGCAGTTGGCTACACAGGAAAGCTGCAGGCCATGAGTGCATGCCTTCAGATATTTATTGATCTGCAATGAGAGAATTTGTTTTTTTTTTTAAGTCCTTAGTTGTGCAGCAGCTAGCTTGCTCTATGATGAGTGAAATAAAAAAAATAACACTTGCATTGTGACCAATAAAATGGTGACAGGAAGCTCATAGATCTTACAGAATGATTCACAAGAGCTTGATCTTCTATACTTGGTGGACAAATACATCATTTACACAGTTTGTTTTGGGCTTTATTGCATTTTATTGTTGACAAAACTGATTATTCCACATGGAGCGGAAATTATTTCTTCTCAATAGCATCCACAGGCTGAAATCATTTGTCATAAACCACAGCTGGCTGGACAGATATTAAAGGATGATTGTAGTAGGTGGAAGTACTGAGCTTTAATTGTAAGGGTTTTAATGGTAATTTTAAAACAACAATGGGGTAAAGGTGTTTTGTGGCTGGCAGGCTTTTGAAAACTCAGCCAATCATAAACTCAGTACATAACTGACTTTTGCAGGAACAGGGGCAATGAATTTAATTTATCATCATATTGCCATGTAGCTGTTGTATCCAGCATATCAGCAGCTAATTGAATCTCTTGGCTGCCAAGGTCATTTTTAGAATAGATAAGGCAAATTGAATGCAGGATTATTACGAGCTAAAGTGGGAAGAGGAAATGACAAAGTGACCTGCGGTTGCCTGCTGCTCTTATCAACTATTATCTTTGACTGTGCTCTTCTTCTCTCGAGGTGATGGACAACACAGAGATCCACGTGGTGCCCAACATCCTGATGATGGTGGGCCTGGCCTCCATCGGCACCAACTGGGTTGCCAGTCGTGTTTGCCAGGACTCCTTGGATGCGAGCCGCTTCCCCCGTTGGAAGGTTCTCCTGCTGGCCTGGTTTGCTGTAGCCGCGCTGCTCTGTTGTCTGCTTATCGCCGTGGTGGTGCTCAGCTACGCCCTGCAGGGACGCCTGGAGGAGTCCCTGAAGGTGAGGTCACTGGGTTTGGGGATGATTTCGAGGGGGACAGGTCAAGCGGTAATGTAGACACCAGTATGGCCTTAAGAGAGGACACACTAGTTAAGGAGAGCTTTCTCTAGCAAAACACAAGACAAAACCTACCCCCGCCCCCCAAGGCCGCTATGGCTGCAAGAGTCAGCATGTAAGATGAAACTGGCAGCCTTGGCTAGAAAACACGTCTGATGCATGATGCAGACAGAACAAAACATCTATTAAAACCTTGTGTTCCTCATGTCTCCTTTAAATACAGGAGAATATTTATTCTTCATTTCTGAAAACATAAACAAACAATATGCAGGGGGATTAGAGCTCTCATCCTTCTATCGACTGTCACCCAACATGAAATCTTTAAGCGTTGTCAGGAAATTAATTTAAAGCCGACCAACAACAGATGTTAAATTACACTGAAAATCTGTTTATCTGTCAGAGAACAGCTGCATTATACACATACCGTACAGTAAAACCATTCTTTCGAATAAAACACCTGCTTCTTCCTCCTTCACTTTTCTCTCTGCACTGTCAGGTCGGCCTGAGGAATGGAATTCGCTTCTACAAGGACACAGATGTACCTGGACGCTGTTTTCAAAAAGAGACCATTGATCATCTGCAGATGGAGTTCCGCTGTTGTGGCAACAACAACTTCAAGGACTGGTTCGAGGTGCAGTGGGTCAGCAACAGATATCTGGACTACACCTCCAAGGACGTCAACGAGTGAGTGAATGACAGCGCAGACATTTATGGGATGCAGGGAGGTGAGAGAGAAAGAGAAGGAACTGTACGGATGAGAGGTAGACAGGAGGGAGAGGGAAACAGAGATCTGTATGAGTGACAGATAAGTAGACTTCACATCCAAAAAGGTCAAAGAATATGTTACAGAAGAAGGACTGAGAGAGGGAGGCAGAATGATGTGAGGAGCAGAGGAGGAGTGTAAATAGATCTGGCCTTTACATTTGAAGAGAACGACAGAAATGGATGGAAAGGTTGGTCATGAAGCAAGCGGAGAAAGGTTGGTCAGAGATGAAATAAGTGAAACGGAATGAGTAAACAGAAAGGTTGTGACATGATGACATTTGTATAGTGACACTCCTCATTTCTCAGTAAGTGTGCATTCAGCTAAAAGTCAGGCCTTTAACTAGTTTTAACATTTTCTGTGCTTTAGCTGCCATAAGATGAATTCACCTTCTTCCCTCCTTCCTTCCTTCCTTTGTTTCCTCTGACTCTTTACCCATTTCAGTTTCTTTTTAATCTGTTTCTATCACTGGTTTTCATGCTGTCCATCCGTCCTCTATCCACAGTCGGATTCGGAGTAACGTGGACGGGCGTTACCTGTTGGATGGCGTTCCTTTCAGCTGCTGTAACCCGGCCTCCCCTCGCCCCTGCCTGCAGTACCACCTGACGGATAACAGAGCCCACTTCAACTATGAGTACCAATCAGAGGAGCTCAACCTGTACAGCCGCGGCTGCAGGCAGGCTCTGATTGACTACTACATGGACTTGATGAACTCAACCGGTCCTGGCGTGCTGTCAGTCATCCTAATACAGGTGGGTTACCTAACAACACTGCAGTTATTCTGTAACTGCGCTAAAACAGAAAGAAATGGTCAAATATATCACACATTTAAGTATTCAAGCACCTGTCGCAGCGTGAGAGGAAGTTTTTCATGTTTGTCCCAAAATTACCCCGAAACTCACATACAAAAAATGTCCCAGAATTTTAAATGATGGCTGTCTACTGACGCACAGACTGCCATGACAACCAGCAGAAAGAAACAACTCACTGGCACACATTGATTTCTCCCTTTTGATCAAACATGCACTTTCACTGTTTTTCAAAATAACAGTATTGATGGCACATTCTCTTCAAATAACAAACAGGACCTCAGGCTGGAACAGGACGTCTATACACATGTTTAACAGGGCGTCATTTCACACTGCCCACAGCTAATCAGACAATCTATACTTGTAAATGCAGCAGCTCAGCGTTGTGGTTCTTCTACTTCACTTTGAAAGGGACGGACAGATGGCTGCCATGTTAGCAAGGCACCAAGCTGCGCTAAACAACGTCTGTTTTTCAACCAAAAGTCTTAGCACTTTGCCAAAATCTGCTTTGAACCCTGTTGCCTGACATGAACAAGAGGGATGAGATGAGACACAGCTAAAAATATTTTGCACTGACTGCATCACAACTCGTGTTTTTCTCTGCAGGTGTTGCTTCATGAAGAAATTGTTTACCCTTTATTATTCTGGGAAACTCACTGTAAACTCATTTTGTGTCAGAGGCTATATGATAATTATTGAGGTGGGGAGGGGAGTTAGACCTTATTTATCTAAAAACACTTGGGAATCTCTGCAGTGTATTAATATTAATACAGAGTTTAATCTTAACCTTAACAATTCATATGTGAAAAGAAAAATCATTAAAAGACTGCCCAAAAACAAATGATAATTATTTACAACTGGCTTTAATTATTTCAAGCCATCTGTGAATATTTTGAATAGTAGCACAAACTGACTCTCAGTTTCATTTTCATACTTTCAGTCCTACCATTGAAATAAAAATGATTTGTAGTCAATTTGTTCATAATCACAGGGAATCTGAATTAGAAAAGCATCACAAGCTAATGAACATTTTCTTTGTTAACACACTAATTGCAGACTAAGATATATAGATAATATTAACAAACATACATATATACACGGAAAAGGTGTAAAAATCTGTGCATCTGGCAGAATACTAAGTCCTCCATAGCTTGTTCATCACATTAGAAACTGTTTAAACCTATTCTAATACAAGCAAAATCAATGTTTTTTCTGCAGGCATCTGTTTTAGTGAGCATATGGAGTTATTTGACCGTTGGATTTGATAATAAACAGTGTCTGCTGCCGATTTTCACAGTATCCTCATTGCTTATTTCTGTCCAGATGTCAGTCCTTCTGAGCCTGCGATACCTGCAGACGGCCGTGGAAGGAGCCATGGCTCTGGAGGACCCCGAGGGTGAAAGTGAGGGTTATCTCCTGGAGAACAGTGTGAAGCAAACCTTTGAGGATTGCAAAGCCAAGGTCCTCGACATTCTAAAGTTTGCGCAGGTTGATGCCACTGCTGACGAAGCGTCCGGGGATGCAGACGGCGAGAAAACAGCTGATGAGAAGGCGGCCTCCCCAACTCCTGCCAGCTAGAGGGGAAACATGATTTAAACATAACCTGAGAAGGAAGGGATGCAGAAGGGGGGGATGTGTCTGAAGGGTTTTTTTGGTTGTGTGAGTTGGGTGGTGGCAGGTGGGACACCTGTTGGGTTTTGACACGTTAGGCTTGAGTTATATTCCACCAATGCAACAGCTACAGCTCCCTCGCACATGGCCAAAACAGGGCAAAACACTGGGAATCTTGTCAGGCCCTGCACAGAAACCAAAACAAACATCTCCTCTGTGCAGGACCTCACGAAAGTGTAACCATCAGACAATCTATTGAGGAGATGTATAGAACTCTTTGTTGTGTTTAGAAGAGAGTACATTCAGTTTTAACAGGTGTAGCTTAAACATGCACAGATGTATTTTGACATTTTGACTCAAATTTGGTAAAATCCCAATCACATGATGCTAAAGTTCAGCCCATGTGCACAGTATTTTTCATCTCAGAGCTGTAGAGTTTGTACTAAACTGCAATGAAATGCTTAGGAACCTGTTAAAATGGCAATGCACATGAATTATATATTAAAGGTAGAAGTTTTTAACTGCTTTGTAGTGTCGGCCTCCTTTTGTACATGTAATATAACAGAGGCGTGTTTAAACTGACAGTGGGTTATCGGAGTTCAGCAAGGAGTGTTGGATTAAGTGTGCGTGCTTTGTGTGCATACGTGTGTGTGAGTGTGGTGCCCTATATGAAGCTGTCATCGTGTCTATTCTGGCAGCTCTGAAACAATCTGATAATCCTGGTGTAGTTAATCCCAGAACTGCTGCACAAGCATTATCAGCACACCCTGACAGCACACAGGAACGCACTCACACAGTGGCATAAACAGCACACTCATACAACATGTTGCAAGTTATTTTATAAAGCAGAATGGTTTTTAAATGCTATTTATTTGCAAAGAAATAAATATCATGGTGATCTGTACTAGCTACAGGTATATCCCATGTGTGCTCATTCTTCTTAAATAAAACTCTATCACAGAATAATTTCAATGAATGTCTTATTTGATTCCTGCTAACCTGACAAATGCTTTCAGTGGCTGCAGAAAACATGTCCTTTCATGATAAAACACAAGCAGGTAGCAGAGGAGTGAGGGTGAAAGTTAGGCTTCAGGCTCAGACTTTCAAAAAATCTGACTTATAGCATAATTAGTATTACAGTAACACAGTGGAAGATTTATGTTGGTTATTGCAGCTAGTTCTTTCAGATAATTACTACAAACTAATTGAAGCAAACAATAATAATCAATCGATCAATGATTGTTTGTTTAAAAAGACTAAAATTTTCCACCACATTTTTATTTTATTTTATTTTTAATAATCAGGCTCTATAAATATAAAATATAATTCCTTCTACCTTTAAGTATTGATGAAAATATTAGTTTTTGCTTATATTTTGTAAAAAAAACCTCAGTGATAAGTATAAGAGAACTTAAGGTATCTAAAAGTCTCCCAATGTTGTTCATTTTGGTTGTGCAGTTTTGCAGCTGTCACTGGCCAAATTGGGGATGTTTTTTCCCCAAACATTCTTTAAAAATAGCCCAGGACTTGAGGGGTAATAATAATCTACACAGCATAAATGTATTTTTTGTCCCCTCCAATACTGAGTAAATACAAATCTGTCTCCCCCTAATTTTCAGTAGAAAATATGTTAAATATGTCCTCCTCACTCAAAAACAACCCTGTCCTTTCAAGTAATTTTATCTTTGGCTTTTAAATTTTATTTCTGTTTTTGAAATAGAATAAAACATCAATAAAATTATAGTTTAAAAAAAAGGCTGTGAATTTAAATTTCTAATACAAAATAATAATAGAAATATGTACCATTTACATACAAGCACACATAATGATAAATTTCCATCTTTAAAGATGATTTGGAAGATTTTTTTTACGTTAAAAAAAGACTAATATTCATCATTAAACATTAAATAGCAAAAAAGCACAAATAACAATAACAAATAGACACAATCCCTTGTAGCATTAAGGCAAGAAAAAATATTAAAAATGTATGTATTTTTCTGAGATGTCCCCCCCCCCCATAATTTAACAGCATTTTACAGCAGTATAATGTCTGTCGTTATTTATCACTGGTTTTTAATTTTTGTCAGTTCTTCAGGAAAACTCAAGTTTTCCAGAGACACCAATAAACCCATTGAGGTCCTGTTTGCTATACGTACAGCTAGCTGTGTGTCAGACTCTTTCCTCTGACTTTGATAAATACCTGCAGCATCACACAGCAGCAGAAGTGCTTCTTTAAATTCAGAGTCATGTGCGTATTTACGCACGAGGCACAGCAGTGGTAAACTCATGAACACAGGATCTGACGGTAAATAAGGTTTAGTGTTCCTCTACACATGAGACAGGTAAGTGACTCCACATGGATTCCAGGTTCATACGGTGGAACTGTTTGCACTGAAGCCTCTGAATAAATCCTGAGCTCAGTCAGAGCTGTTAGGACAGTTTAACCAAGATGCGGCAGCCATTACGCACAACCTGACATCTCAGTGTTTGAGTTGTGTTATGGGAGTTAGGGAGGCTACAAACATGGCAATACACACATTATAAATAAAAACTTCGTTGCGTGGTTGCACTTCCTTAGTGATTTGGTTAACGGAAATAATGATGTAATTCATCATCTAAAAATGAGAGAACAGGAACTTTCATTTGGAACCAGCAGAGGTCACGCTTGCACAGTGCTTGAATGACACCTGATCGTGCTTTTATGAGAACAACGTGGAAACAGCACAAATTTGTCAACTCTGTGGTCGTACGTTAAAACTTCCACCTTGTTTTTGTGGACATATGAGATCAGCGAGTCGTCAAGGAACAAGACAAGGTGAAGATTTTCATATCGGAGCATTAAACAAGTTTTAGAACCATTTTCATATGAAAGCACACCGATATGAAGAAATGGGCCCGTATTTCAAAATCAACACGCTCCATTTGTGAATATAAAACACAGCTTTATCATGCTTTCCTTGATGACTTTTGTCGTCATGCAGTATGTGGAAAAATGTATGTGAGACGACGTGTGGAGGGTGTGTTAGGGAAAGAAAAAAAACGCAACATGTTCGTTTTGAAAAATTCCGGTGCGGTTTTGCAATGAAACTGACACACAGTCAGAGAGGAAGAGACAGAGAGGTGGAGGGAGGGGAAGGGCCGCACAAATGTCAAACGACTTCAGTTGACGCGAGATGGATTCTCTCTCTTTGATTCATTACATGTGAAACGTCGATAATATTTTTTAAAATTAATTAGCTGTCTTCTGTGGTGTTTCACAGCCCTCGTAACACAACAATGGAGTCCAGCATTAAGGAGATAATAGACGAATTCATGGAAAGTGCGCTGGCGCAGTGGGTACGTCATTTATCATTTATCACTTTGAGTTAGAGAAAAGGTCATTATTTGTGGAGGCAGAGAGAGGAGAATAAAAACAGGAGGATGATGTAGAAAGTGTGTAGGAATCTGCCGCCTTGGCTTTTGGATAGTTCTGCAGTGAACTCCACATTGTTATTTGCAACCAGAAATGCTTTTGACATCTTTCACGGCGGTCTGATATCCACTTCTTTTCACCCAAATAAATATAAAAGCAGGACTTGAATAAACAACAGGAATAGCCTTGATACTGCCTTCATGCTGTTGTATAAAGAAAAGCAAACACTCCACTTCTGCTTTTGGCAGCTTCCCTCGCCGCTTAATGACCAGCTTTTTTTTCTCTCCTGGCCTTGACACTTCCGTGTCCTTGGGCTGTTAGTGATTTGAAAATAACACAAAGTCATCTACAGTGTATTCAAGAGGGGGTAGGCTCTCTAAAATCAGTAGAGGATTTGTTGCATGTGTAACACACCAAATTTCCAGCTGGGTTTTCCACATGGGAGACCAGTCAGCCTGAGGGGCTTTTTCCCTTCTGGTCGGTGAACACTGTTTACGGTATTCTGTGATACTGTGCTGAACCTTGAAGGGATGTTCTCATTGGCTGCTGCTCCCTTCCAAAGAGGAGGTCGGAGGTCAGGTTCAACAGGATGCCCGCCACTGGCAGAAGCTTAGTATTTGCTGAAGGGCACTTCAGCAGGTCAGCCATTCACTGACATGAGCGCTTCACCCTGATTCTCATGTGTGGAAGGACATCCGCTGCCGCCCAGCGTAGCCTGTCGCACAGGGTCTCAAGCTGCGCTGTTCCACCTTATCAGCTCAACCAACTCAAGCTTGTTACTCTGTTTACCGACAGTGCAGTTTTTAGAAAGTGCAGGTGGGAATAAACCTCATTATATTGCCGTTTGCTTTGGCACAGCTCGTCTCAGCAGAGGGAGAGACCTTGGCTGCAGTCCTGCTTGGCTGCCTGTCACTGTGAAGTGCTTCCCAGTGTGGGAGCACAGATCCCACCTGTTCAGACAGGTGCACCGACTCAAGTGGCTTCCTGTGAGAAAATGTTCGCACCTCTCCATCCCCCTCCTCGCCTCCTCTCTGTACCTGCTTTCTGCTCCCGTCTCCGTCTTCCTCGTCTTTGTCCACCTCTTGGTACACACTTGACATAATCTCTTCATGTCTCTTGCCACAGATTCAGCTGTTTGAGAACATGGTGGAGAGTGAGGATGGTGTCCCGCTCTACAGTCAGTACATGGAAGTCAACTCCGTTTCCCAGAGTGCCCGACAACGCTACCTGAGGCTGACCAATGGCGTTTTCCTCAATGAGGTCATGAGGTTCATGTAAGATTGATCAAAATTTTCTTGCTTCATTGACTTTCAATCATGCACAGACTACGGTAAAACTAGGAGGGAAAGTAAAAGCTAATTTCATGAACTTGCAGGAACCTTTTTCACTCAACCTGTAATGTTAGATGAGCATTTAAATTTAATAAGACTAAATATAAAAATAATAAATGAGCCAAAGTGCCATTTGTGCAGTAAAAAAAACTAAACTGTGTAACCTGGCACTTGGTTGCAAGTATTGGCAAGTCCAAATGTAGAAATGACCCCACAACCCTCTT